TTCTTTCACCTTTTCATTATTTCTGCTTCATGTCGTGGTCCATTTGTGTGTTTCTGACCCCTCCTCTTGGCAGGTTTTCCCGCTGGCATATTGATATTTCTAGTGCTTCAATCTTACTGTTGTATGGCGATTACAGTAGCGGCAGAGTCTTGTGGGAGACAGGGTTTTATATCAATGTTTCCAAATTGGAACAAAAGCACTCCATCTTATTCTAACAAACGACGGAACGACATGGACCTATTTCGGATTACTTTGCTTACTTTTCACATATGCTTGCTTAATAGTGAATTCGAATAACCAAACACACACAGCTGGAAGCTCCGGCGAATGTGGATGCTCGTCACATTGTGCAATTTTAATTTGAATGCCCTATTGTTGAAACTGCATGATTAAAATGTGAAATCGCATGCTTCTAATGTGAAATTGATTGGTGTTTTTAGGTAATTGGATGTTGATCTCAACGTGCATTCATATTCGTGCGAAAATGGGAGATTGGTCGCCAATTTGGCCGCCAAGTCTGCTATATTTTAGGTTTTCCCGGCTATTTTAATATAGGTTTTCCGGTCAATTTCCTGAAATCGTTTCATTCATTTCTGAAAATCGGTCATTCGTTTTCGTCTGAATATGAATGCACGTCTTTAATCCCATTTCAATTCAACAAAAATTCAATCGTTTTCATTGTCCGTGCATTCGGTTTTGAGAAACAGACGGCCAATTACGTTACCTGTGCATTCATTTACGCGAGCATACGTTTTCGCGCAGAGTTCTGGAATACAATTTCGTGAATGTGCAATCAAAAGTACGTTTTTCTCATTCAAAATAGATTAAATCACAGAACGTTCAACCAAAAGTGCCCTCCAAAGCGACAAAGAAGTCTTGTAAACAAATCTGAATGAACATGAACCAGGCGCGGATCCGGGGGGAGGAGTCAACCCCCCCCCAGCTCTGTCAAAAAAAATGGTCCATAGAAAGTCCCAAAAAAAATGCGAACCCCCCCCCCCCCGGCCAATTTCACCAAGTTTTCATTTAATTTAACGCCTGACTCATTCGATTTAGATTGAAATTGAAAGATCATGCAGATCGGCATTCGACAATCAAAAAGAATCATTCAATTTCCCTATCTGAGCATTCTATCGCCTTTTAGCTTCACTCGTCCCTTTCAAAGATGCATTCATATTAAAAGTATCGCGTTGTTCATTCAATTTCGTCTTAACCAGTAGTAAGGGGTTGATCGGGCATTCGTTATCATTAATGGGCAAACATATTTCACATTTTGTCAAACATCTTTTAAGACTTCATACGTGTCCGTATTCCTTAGCGTAAATCATATTTGATGACTTCAAACCGTAGATTGACTTTCTTTCTTAATTAAAGGGTATGTGCAATGAATTTTTCTCAGGAATTCTTTATACGCAAATCTGTGAAATGTAAGAAAACTAAACATTTGATAACACTTTTTGGGTTAATCTTATTGCAAATGAGCACTTTTTTAACATTTAAAAGGTCCCATGTTTTCCGGACTAACGCTGTTATATACTATGATGTCATTTCATGAAGCCACTGTTCAGTTTAGGGTTTTTCTTTCAAATTATTCATCAAAATTTGCTAATTGAAAACATTTTTGGGAAAGGGTTGGTCATTGGCTTACTGCCATGTACTGACACATAATATAATCACCAAATAAAAGAAATTTATGACAGCAAAATATCCAAAATTCTAGCAACTTATTTTGCTGAAATAGCCCTGTAACATTAATCATGCTCGGAATGCCATCACAGGTTTTCTAATGAATATGAAACATTAGCAGAAAAACGGAGAAGGCACCAAAAACACCCCTCAAAATGGAAAATAAAACTTGCAAATAAGGTTAAATGTGACACAGAGATGTATTTCCAAGGTTTGCATTAAAAACTTTGCATGGGCCCTGTGAATATGGTAAGTGTTCGTCAGACATACGCAAGAAAACATTTAAGAAATAACGCAAGAGAAGTGTTCCCGACGGTACAACCATTGCCAAACGTGTCCCGATGTCTTGCACGTCAAGAAATCGTCAACGTAAAAAGCCCCTTGATCAAACGTTTAAACAAGTAGAAAAGATCAACAGTGAAAAAGAAATGATCTTAGTCCCTTTCCATTCATTATTTCGTTGCATCTTGTTTCCCTCATATAAGTTGATTTGTAGCATTGTAAATTTTACAGTCATCAAGATTTTTGGGAGGGAAATGAACCTCGGAGAAAAATAGGAAAAAAATATCGATTAAAAAATCTTACTAATTTAAATGACCAAACGATGAAAGCGATTGCCCATAAACGAATAAGACACGAAAAGCATGGTTAGGCCAAAAAAATAATAAGTCGGTCTCTGGTCAGCGCGCGCGTCGATTTTAATCATGCGCGTCGATCTTTTTTTTTTCCAAAATGTTCCGCGGTAGCTCCAACAGCGCCCTCTATTTCCGCACCTCCTCAATTTTTTTTTACCAATAAGCACCAAGGAATGGGAAATTGCACCAAGGCAAATGATCGAAAGCACCAATGCAAATTATGGAGGACACCAATGTACATGAGGACTCCAAAAGAGCAAAATAGACCCACCTTGTCTGTACAATCCAAGCTTGAAAAAAAAAAAAAAAAAAAAAAAAAGCCGCGTGGCCGCGTCAATTCCGGAATTTCGGTCTGACCAGAGACCGAATATTTTTTTTTTGGCCTTATACGTTATAAGCGCGCAGATGTTCGCTAATTTGAATGCGTCAACCGTCAAAAGGTTGCAAAGACTTATTTTGAGACTGCTGCAAGTTAAGTCTTGAATACACCAAAACAAAATAGGCTGCCCAAAAACGAAAACGAATATTCACAGCAAAATCTTGGCTGCCTAAAAATGAAATTGAATGAAACCCAAATGAAAAAGAAACCCCAATTGGACCACATGTGCAAAACTCACGCGAAATTGAATGGCTGATAATGAAACTGATTAGAAAAATTCGGAAATTCGGCGGGAAAACCTATAATATAGGTTTTCCCAGCTATTTTAAAACATTTTCAGTCAAATTCACAAACTATAACATTTAATTTCGTCCGAGAAAAATATTTACACGTTTTTAACAAACCCAATTTAGTTATTGACCATTCAATTTCAAAGTTTGGTCACACTTTTAAGTCACTAGGTCGAGAATATTCGTCATTAAAGATCAAATTCGTCTAAGCTGTTACCGATTGGCAGCATTCAGATATCGAATTCGTCTTATATAATATCAATTAGACGAATTTGATTTCTGAATAACAAGGTTGAGCATAGACGAGACGAAATTGAATACTCCGTGACGAAAACGTGTGCTCATTGTTTGAATTTGCTTAAAGTGAATTTGAAAAATTGTCTGACAATAGACGAAATTGAAAGTGCACTAAATCGATGTTGATGGACGAATGATAAACGTTTAAAATAGCAGGGGAAACCCATATTCTTAGCAGGATTCACCTGGGAATTACGACTATCCACATTTTTATATTTTATATTGTCCTGACCACGTGGTATACCCACCCGGGGCCATCTATCACTAGATCCTAGTATGGACCAAGGTGCATCCACCAGAGGGGTGTCAGTCTTGTGATCCTACTGGAGGGGTTGAAAATTGGCGGGAAAACCTTGTGTGCTTGTGCACATTTACATAAGCTTGGGCCTAGTAACTAAAAGGCGTGTGTACTGGCTTGCGACTGAGTTACGCAATGTTTTGATTTATTTCCTGAATATTTCAGACAAAAAGGTGTCTTCACCCCATTGCCCCCTCCCCTCCCCCATCCACCCACCCCTGGATCCGCCAATGAACCTGCCCGATAACATACAAAGTCTGGATGAAAACTGTTCATTGCACTCGACCGACAACTTAGGAGAAACATTCCATCACTCTCATATACGAACTGGCATCTTCTGTGGACAGGCAACAATATGTCATTCAAAACTCAATCCAGATGTCTAAACTCGCCAGTGTAAACGTGTTTGTCTGACAGACTACATTTATCTTGATATGAAATTCCACCGTGCACTTGAAAACTTTGCCAACTTTTATTGATAGTTTTGACGGGGGAATATTAACATGCAGAAGGCTGGCTGAAAGTACAGCTATACAATATTTAATAAAAAACAAAAGGAGTAAATAAAGTTGGACTTATTACAACCCCAGGGTCATGCAAATCAGGAGAGAGTGGCGGTAATAGCTTTGTTCTCTCGTACGACCTTGAAGCTGATTCATGGTCACACAAGCTCCAATTCGCGCAAATAGTTCCATGTATTCAAGCCCCAATATCACGCCCGACTCATAACAATAGGAATACACGATCGGATATGAATGGACGGAAATGCGAGCTAGATAATTCCATTAAGGTCGCGTTAATCCTTCGATGTCGCCATCAAGGTAATTGAAAACCAACTTTTGAGTCAATTAATGCGGTCCCCGAAGGACTTGTACAATAATTATCAAACCTCAAGTGTAATCTAATTTGTATTTCATAATACCAATAGCGTTGAATGATAGACTGCGGCCAGCCTTCCACTGGAGGCCGAGTTTATTCGAATATCATGAGGTCCAAAGCTCGACCATGCAAGATTGTTTGAAATGAATTGATTTCCGGGCAAGTCAATTTTCCCCAAAAGCAATTTGTTTGTGCCTCAGTGTTGCAGCGCAGTTTCCAATAAAATCGCGTTTAATACTCCTCCATACAGGAGATTGATTGCATTGTGGCGGGACAAAATGTGTGACGTTGCAAAGATAAAAATGAGATTCAAAGATGAAGGTTAAGTTTTATGGACAAAGTTACGTGCATCACCGTGTCGTTATCAAAGCGCACACGTGAGTGATTTTCCGCGAGTCTCCCTCTTTTATAAAAGCGCCAGCGATCAACGGAAAGACCGCAGAGGAACGGCAATTAGGTCTATAAGAGTCACTCTCTACCGGCCGACGGTGGAAAAGCTTTCTCCTACTTCTGAACAAGGCCTTGTGCAACACTCTATGTGCGTGACAGCCAAGCTTCAGTCCATTATAATAATCGCCAGTGGAAAGATAGCAGTCCGGCTAAGGATCGGTAAAACCTTGCGTCAGTCTCCGCCCGCAGAAGCAGCAGGCAAGATGTGGCGGCTCACGCTTAGTATCGTTTGGGCATTTCTGGTGACTCGAGGCATCGGCACGGTTCCATCCGGTGTCCTGGTGAACTACACCAGACCAGGAGACTTCATCATCGGTGGAATATTCCCACTGCACCAGGATAACACCTGCCGAGCGGGTATGAGAAGCCATATTCTGGAGAGAGTCCAGACGATGGTGTATGCTCTGGAGGAGATCAATGCCAACGATGACATTCTCCCGAACGTTACTCTGGGATTTGACATCCGTGAGTCCTGCTACATGGAAGATGCTGCCCTGTGGTCTGCTTTGTCGATTCTTGGCGGGCACGAACCGAACGGGATCCACGCGGTCACTACAGGAAATGCCTCGCGAAGTCGTTTGATCGGAATCGTCGGCACGAGCCGGAGTACCACCAGCATCGTGGCGGCAAAGGCTACTAATCTATATGAGATACCAATGATCTCCGGCTACGCTACCAGTGACGAGCTGAGCGACAAAGGAAGGTTCCCGTACTTCTTGCGTACTGCCCCGCCGGACAAACTCCAGGCGCGTGCTATCATCGATGCACTGCTCCGGTTCAAGTGGTTTTATGTAGGGGTGATGTATTCCGTCGATACCTACGGTATAAGAGGCACGCAGGAACTATTGAATCTTGCAGACAAGAATGGCATTTGCGTGGCTTTCTCAATAGCTGTTCGAAAAACTGCCACAGAGACTGAAATCCAGGAGGCAGTGTCGAAGATCCTGCAGTTTGACAAGGCAAAAGTGTATGTCATGTTTGGCGGCTATGAAGGAATGTACAGAATCTTGCAGGAGTACCATAAGATTAAACCGACCGAGAAACTCACGCTAGTCGGCAGTGATACATTCGCTTATTTTGAAGAACATGGCTTGCAGGACATGAGTCTAGGGAACCTGTTCTTCACTTTGAATTTCCGTCAGGTCCCGGGGTTCGACAGGTACTTCAATGACTTGGTGGCATCTAGTATGGAGAACCCATGGTTTGCTGAGTACAAGGAACTGTGGAGAAGGGAGCTTGGATGTTCTGATTTCAGTAACTGCTACATTCCTACGAGTAACCGCTCCAGTCCAGCCTATCACGCTGTGTATGCATTCGCACATGCTCTGGAGGACATGCTGAGAGCACGCTGCGGAGTTTCCTTTGCAAGTCCGGACTGTGAGCTCTTTCGAAACGGGATCAGCGGACGAGAGTTTCTGCCCTTCCTTCTGAATGTGACCTTCCAAGGGATAGACGGCCTCTTCAGGTTTGACGAGAATGGAGACCCGGAAGGCACGTACAACGTGGATAGTTTCCGCAACGGGGAGTACTACCAGGTCGGAAGCTGGGACTCGCGTGGAGCCGACCATGAATTCTCCATCAACGAATGGGACATCCGGTGGCCAGACGGAGTGGGGAAGCCAACATTTTCTCTTTGCATCGAGGACTGTCGCCCGGGATACATTGTGGTACCACTGGAGAAGAAATGCTGCAAAGGCTGTCAAAAGTGTGCCAGTAACGCAATCGTGAGAGACGGCGTGTGCGTTCCCTGCGCCGGGAGGTTCTGGCCAGACGAGGACACTTTCACTGAATGCCAAGAGATCGAGGCTTCAACGTTCGCAGTGGACGAAGCCTCCGTTCTGGTCATCCTGGCTCTGAGTCTGGTCGGTATCTGTTTTTCATCTCTAAGCTTTGCCGGGATGACCTACTACCGCAACCACGCCCTGATCAAAGCAACCAGCAGGGAGCTGAGTTTCATCTCCATCCTGGGCACCATGCTTGCTTTCTTCATCCTATTTGCCTTTCTGCCCCGTCCCACTGCCGCTTCCTGCGCCATCTCTGAGGCAATCATCTCTCTGTGTGTCACGCTGACCTACGCGCCGACTCTTCTCAAGGTTAACCGTATCTTCAGGATCTTCAACGCCAGCAAAAGGTCTACCAAACCTCCGAGGCTCGTGCGACCCAAGGACCAGCTGATTCTGTCAGCTGTACTCATCTCCGTGCAGGTATAATATGGACGCTATAACCTGATGTAAGCTGGACGTGTTGAACAGAGTGTTCTGTTCGTCTTCAGGAGAAGAGCAACAAAAGCAAAATACGATTTATTTGAAGACGAACAGAGCACACCGTCCTATGCCGAGTTAATAAACCGATCCTTCTTAGAACGACACACAACTCACAAAGTTTCGAGGGAAAACACATAGGTTATCGTGTTTTTACAAAATCTTTACTCACACAATGCCCCGGCCACTCAAATGACATAATGCTGTGTTTCCGTTCAATACTACTGCCCAAAAAGGAGGGTAGCTATGTAACTTTTTGGTACATGCCAACCCAAGCGATACAAAACCACTGCCCTCTTACTCATATAAGATCTATTGTAATGCACTGATGATTTCTAATTCTGGTCTTCAATCGTTTCAGATTATCATCGTCATAATATCGGTCATTGCCAGCCCGTCCAGACCAGAGTATCTGATCCCGAGACCCCAAGAGAAGTACGTCGAGGTTTACTGCCAGTTCAGCAATGGCTTCATCGCCTCGTGCGTGTACAACCTGCTACTGATCCTGGTCTGCTGCTACTACGCCTTCAAGACCCGTAAGGTACCCAGCAACTACAACGAGTCCAAGTTCATCGCAGTCAGCGTCTATTCCACGCTGGTGCTGTGCCTGGCCGCCGTGCCTGTCTACACTACGGCCGTGGCTGTACTGCAGAAGGTGGCTACTCTCTGCATGGTGCTGCTGCTCAACGCCTACCTGACGCTGGTCTGTGTCTACCTGCCCAAGCTCTACGCCGCTCGTTTCGTCAAAGATATTCGTGTTATGGACTGGAGCAGCTCCGTCCAAGACTCAAGGATCAAGCCGGCATCAACCATGTCTACTGGTGCCGAACAGCCAGCAACGGTATCGTAAGTTAGCTTTTTTGCTTTGGAACGAACGCTTGCACGGAGACTCGTCAATGATTTCAATGTACGCAGCTGCGTACGTACGATCCAAGAAAATGTTCAAATAAAAAAATATACAAATTAATCACAGGTAAATCTTATCACATAACGCCTGGCCTCCCAAGCCTACCAAAACTAGTGTACTTTTGCAAGAGTCTGCCGAAAAGTAAGGGTTCCTTTGCAAAACTCGATTCTTTACGAAACTAAATCGGTTTTCCCTTCAATCACTCTTAAAACATAACCGTAACAATGCTAGGTCTAATTTTGGTGACTTAACTATATTGAACACTTTACTTCTGCGGTAGCTTATAGATTTAATTTGTCCATGAAAAACAAGCCACATTAATACCCACTTTTGTTTAAATTGTAAAGAACATCATTTAAATGTATTCAATGTATTTAAATGTGAAGAACATGTTTTGATCACCGTTTTTCTGTGTAAGTATTTCACTCAACTTTCAAAGAGCGTCACATTTTGGAAAGGTCTAATTGTAAATCATATTCCCATTTTCACATTATCTGTCAAGAAAAAAAGTAATATAGATTTTCCCGGCTATATTAAAACCATTTTTGTTCGAATTCACCGATTCTTACATTCAATTTCGTACAGCAACATCGATTTAGTGCACTTTCAATGTTTAATTTCGTCTTTTGTTAGACAAATTAAAATTCAGTCCAGACAAATTCAAACAATGAGCACACATTTTCGAACCGGTGTATTCGGTTTCGTCTCGTCTACGCCAAATCGTGTTATTCAGAAATCAAATTCGTCTAATTGATTTATATAAGATGAATTTGATCTCTGAATGCTGCCATTCGGCAACAGCTTAGACGGATTTGATCTGTAATGACGAATATTCTCGACCCGGTGACTAAGGAGGGTGACCAAACTTTGAAATTGAATGGTCAATGACTAAATTGGTTTGTTAAAAGCATGTGATTTTTTTTCTCAGGCGAAATTGATTGTTAGAGTTGGTGAATCTGAATGAAAAATGTTTTAACTAGCCGGGGAAGCCTATATACAACACCGGTATTCCTGTCTTTGATTATTAAAAAAAAAGGGCCGAAAACGTTGTCCACCTTGGCACATTTCTCTGACATCACGTTAACGCATTTTTGTCTCTGTTTTTTTCCGCATCGATTATTTTCCCAGTGTCTTTCGGACGTTCTGACATATTGTTATTCGAAAATCGAACATGTATACCATTCTTGCGAAAAATCAGTATTTTGACGCAGGCTGGCGAAAATGTTTAGCGTTTCGATTTACCGTGGACAATTAATGCAAAGTGTTCATGCACTGCACGGACCTTGGCGGGGATTATAAATGACACACTAACAAAACAACCCTGTTATATTGCAAAATGTACTTAAAGAACTGTAACCGTAAGAGTTTTTATATCAAAACAAAAATCTGTCTTCGCACAGCCGAGATCCGAAGGGCAAAACTCAACCCATCCCCCGCATGAGGCACTTAAATAGTTCTGTATTATGACTTGTTCGTTTTCATCATTTACACCAAATTGCACATGTTTTCATATTCTAAATTTGAAGAGTTAATAAATGTTACGAATGATATCACAATTTTAATTAAAGTGATGTACGTCCACCGGTGCATGGGTTATCATATATGTCTGTAAACACAATTGCGCACTACCAACAGTTTTGTACAATGTCACCTTCTAAACTTTTTCACTTTAAAGGAAATTAATTAAAGAGCTTTCTATTGAATTACGAAATCGGTTCAATTGATAAAAAGAAACTGGGCTTAGCCTTATATTAAGTTGAGGAACTTACTGTTTAGCGTGGCACACTCATCTTTATTCTGAAGCTTTGATTTCACATTTAATGTGGCTTCATACCTATGTTCTTCAAACATTTACGGTCTGTTTTTTTTCACCCTGACGTATTCACCCTGTTTCACCCTGTATCACCCTGTAAATGGAATTATTTTCAAAAGTGCACATTTTTTAGCAATACCAAAGTTATTCTCTTTTGCATGAGACTTTGTTTAGTTGTGGAATAATTACTTAACAAGTTTCGAATCACTTCTGAATAACAAGGTTTGGCATAGACGAAACGAAATCGAATACTCCGGTACGAAAACGTGCGCTCACTGTTTACATTTGCTTGAAGTGAATTTGAAATTGTCCAACAAAAGACGAAATTAAACATTGGAAGTGCACTAAATCGATGTTGATGGACGAATTTGAATATTAGAAACGGTGAATTCGAATGATAAACGTTTTAAAATAGCCGGGAAAACCTACACTATCTCAATTCAAGTGGCACAGTAACGTCTAGTTTGCCTGTAATGAAACCCACAAGTTATTGCCAAAAGGCTTGGGGCCAAAGAATTCCAAACGGAAGCGGGAAACAAGGTGAACCTTAACACACACCCCTCCCCCGCTCTTTTCAACAGAAAATGGGAATTTGTCCCCGCCTCTTTGAATCCCCTGCTATATGTAGACGTTCAATCTGCCCCTCCCGCCGCGTTCAGAAACATGTGTCATGTTTATTTGCTGCTGGATGAGTCAAATTCGACCCCTTCGATTTTCAGCCGAAAAAAACTTTTCCCGTTGAAGTGCGTCTAACCAGTGGGGGCGGCGACATTCTCCCCCCCCTTTTTTTTTTGGGGGGGGGGGGGAATACAAGTGCAAACGCCTCATAACTGCTTCGTTTCCCGCCCCTCCCGCTTTTTACCAATTTTACGAGAACGAAAAGTAATTGTGGCAACTTTTTTCCCAGAAGTAAGTCTTTTTACCTTCTCCCCACCAAAATGTCTATGAAACATTACGGTACGGCGAGAGTCCGTGGACAACGGGTAATACTCAGACTAACCAAAATCCTGAAAACGCTACTGCGTCTGGCTGGATTGGCGTTAAATTAGCTCAGCCCCCCCCCCCTCCCCCGGCAACAGCCAAACGTGTCCATGAATATTCTGGAGTATAAACAAGCACGGCAAAGATCAAATGTTATTGGCATCTCGTAATATACACACGCAATATTGCGCTTAAATGCCCTTAATACTAACCGTTTCTCCGTGATCAGAATAATGTTTCGGCCCGTTGAGTCGCACATCTCCCGGTGATGCATGTAGGACAAATAGGCCGAAATATATCGAACATTAAAAATAAAAATTCTCCACAGGTTTCCTTGGAAACGGAAAGGTTTCCTTGAAAACGGAAATCACTTTGTGAGTAGACAAGTGATATTCAAAGGGTATGAGGGACTAATATCTCAGTGCGATTAGAGTGTGCTTCGGACTGTGCTGTGATTATGCACTGTAATATTCCATACATTAGGAAAACTACGTTATCAGAAGTAATCTCAATTTGTGCAATACATCAAAAGAAGGCTGACTCGTCTTTCCCTTAGCTTGTGTTCAATTTTGGGGAGTAAGTTATGGGAGAAATATACATTCATCAAAGCCTGCAATCCTTGGTCGACATGTCTTTCCAAAATCATCAGGACATGTTTCATGTCTTTCAGCTCACGTCGTAGTAGGCTTATATTGTTTGGGTACTTTTATGTATGACCATGTGCAAGTAAAAATTCTCTTTGGTCGGATGTTGACGGTTATATCATTAACATCTTGCGTGTTTTTAAAGAAATATATACATGTATAGCTTTCTACACTTCGCACTGGTGCGTGTACACACACGGGTATTATATACAAGGCCAATTTCAGTTATTGTAGTACACAAAATCATGTTAATAAAACACCAATTCAATTGAGTTAATGAGTTCTTTTGTTGTTGTTTTCTTCATTGATTGTTTTTGTATTATAATATCACATTGTGTCAGAAATACGTTTTTTTGGACCGGTGTATCACTCCTGACTAAATGCGCCTTTTTGAGTTACGGCGGATACATTAACAGCGCGCTATTTGAAGTGGATAAATTTGGGTAAATACAGGTGTTACACACTGTGAGTACCCCTCATATTGTGTCCACTCAAAAAGGCTCATTGATTTTTACAAGCTTGACAGGTCCTTGGTGCTTGACCTAGTGCTGGGTCCATCACTGGATCGAGTGGCATCAGTGGAAGCTTTTAATGGTCAGAGGACACCGGGCAAAGGTTCAACACGACGAGGAAAATGAGAACCTCTCACTGCTAAATTCATGTACATGTACATATGTATAAAGATGAATTTACACAGCATTTTATAGAATTACAAACTTTATTTCTGCCCAAAAAAGCCAGAATGGCAGCATTTCATAGATTTTGAGAGTCACAGAATAAAACCCAAATTTGTTAGAGTGAGAACAAGTCAGAATATGACTTTAAAAAGTCCCCCAATCCTGTTCGACGCCCATGGTACCACAGTACCTGGAGAAACTGTGACCGAAATATGCCCTTTAAATATGAAGGGATAATTGCAAATGAAACAACAAGTTTACAATAACGTACTTCGATGAAAGTAAATACGCCAAATTATCAATGCAACATATTATGTGAACTAATTCATTCAATGCAAATATCCATTTCTTGAGTAGACTTGAAATCAAATCGGTATTGGCTGGGTTTAGTTCGCCTGCCATGCACTGGCATGGACAGATACTGCATACCACTGCATACCACTACATCCCAGGGTACGTGTTGCATGTAGCAATGGCACTTACATGCGGGGACGGTTCGTGCATCCTCGGCCCCAATATGAATAATTGTTAATTCCAGTTACTGACTTTTTACTAATAAATTCATTATTATGCACGTATACGTATGAATGGGCCTGGTGGCCAACAGCGAAAGCGGTCCCGAAAATGAACATGGGTACAAACATTCAGGTCATTTTCTCTCAATTTGTCCAGGATTTGGTGTTTTTTTCTCTTGAGAAAACCCCTTGAAGGGAATATACAACATTTACTTTTGCTGTAATTTTCAGAAATGGATGGATTTGGTAGTTAGCATTCTTTAGCAAATATTGTTTTACGTGTTGGGTTTGTAGATGCTGGAAAAAAGCCAAGAAAAGCAATCAGGTTCTTGTAGTCTTGTTCCCTGACCGCACTTTAGAGGAAACATAACAATTTATAGACGCAAGGGAATTGTAAGGTCAGGGAATCAGTGTGGCTGGCTTGTACCCTTTCAGAGGTGCATAATTGATTGCAAAGAAAATGCAGACTAACTAAATATGATAAATTGGGAGCAGTATTTGAAAAAAAGCCAGTTTTTTTCCCATGCTGGTCGGCTGACCAGTGTTGGAATTAGTTTCCTTGAAAATGCTTTCTTGAAAATGTCAGCACACCAAGTGCAACGATTTTAAAGGATGCTTTAGAATGTCATTCACTAATAATCCAATGACTCATTTCGCCATAACGGTAGTTTGATTTTTGGTGTTTGCAAATGTTGTACACGTATTTTCCTTTGAAATCGCCATAGACATTACTTTCTGGCCTAAGTGTGTTTTTTCACCATGGTTGCATCACGGATTTGACGAGACTGAAGGACTTGTGAAGGACTATTGATGGAATTGACTACAACACTGCCTTTGAGTGAGTGAAACGGCAAGGAGATGTCCTTGGGCAAGCCAATTTTAATACCAGAAGTGGCCACTCCATTAAATTATTATCAGGGAGAACAAGGAAACTTGATAGTAATGGAGTCAATGAAAGTGGTGCATTCTTCCTACCAACACACCGCTTTACAAAATGCTCAATACCTTGAAAGCTGAAGTATGTTCAAGACCCAGTACTCAGCAAAATGGCATTACAGGACATCACACAGAAAAAAGCCTAAACAGGGCCTTTTCTGTGATAACAGATCTGCAACATTTAACAGTTATTGCAAATCAAGTGGTGATCCATGCTGCAGAGGTCAATATATATTCAAAAAGGGACATTCTGTATTTTAGTACACGTACATTGTTTTGTTTCCACTCTTTGTTTTTAAATTTTGATTGACCTTTTTGCTACTTTATTTGTCAAACTTCCATGAGCTTGTTTCATAGAAAGCAGCTTTTCAAACACCATGTAAAGGCAAACCATTTCAAACATTACTGAAGAGCCATAAATGACGATGGAATCTCAAAAATGTTAATGTTGGTTGTTGCCCCTCAAATATAAGCTGATGGAGGGCAATACCCAATACCAAATAGCCATATTGATTGCAAACATTTACAAGATTAAAACGTTGACTTTGCAATCTTGTTATATGAAGAAGTTCAAATTAAAATCTTCGAATTTTGGCCATATGTGACTTGCTACCACAGGTTACAAAGACTGCCTTTTGAATACATAAAAACTGCTTTATTTGAGGTTGATGCGGCCTCGCTTGGTGGCTTGGTAGTCCCCTTCCTGACCCGCTAGTAGCTGATGGATTCTCTTGACTTTCTCTTTTCTTTCTAAATCCCTGCATGGAACCAAAATGAAAACCACAGAGGGAAGAAAACGGTCAGCTTAAAAATCGGAATGTGAAATTTGCCAGACTAGCATATTGGCAATTGGAAATCAAAATCCTGGGAACTATAAATCTTAAATCTTACATCAAACAGCAAATAGGGTGACAATTTAATAGTCTTAACCTATTTTTTTTGCCGTACAGACAACTGACAATGGGAAAAATGGTATTGAGTTTTAATCTCCTGCAGTAACTGGAAGACCGGCTATTGTTGCAGGTCTATTACTCATTTGGAGTGTCCTTGGAGCTCTACAGGACAGCCAGATTAAAAATGGCCGGTTGTTTATAACAAAAAAATAACAAAACAAGTCAGGTGTGTTTACAAACACAAATGCCCCGCAACCGTGACTGTTTCCATGGGGTCATTCCATGCCAACTCAACAAATGGTGCACACCATCACCTCTTGGATTTTTTTCTTTTTTGGTGTACTGAAAGATACTTAGGAGAAATGCAAATTCTGAAAATTTGGGGTCTCTACGACTTTTCGTTCTTGCGCAACAGCATTTTGAAATTTGAGGTGGGCGGGGCCAAAAGTGCGTCGCGTCATGAAATTCAATGTTTAAAGGGCCATATATTTAAAACTATACCACCCAGACATTTGAAACTTGGTAATCTGGGCTATTTTTTGCTGTAGATTTCAAATATTTAAACAGAAAGAAAGTAGCTTGTTTCATTTTTAAGTTAGAGGGGCCCCAAAATGGCCCAAAACTCATCTGGACCAATGTTCGGGGGGGTGTAAGTCAAAAATTGAAAATATTTTTTCCACCAAATTTTTTGCCTGTAATAGCCCCCAATTGAAACTACTTTCATGTAAAATCTTACACTTATATTAACTTCATTGAATGAGACATAGCCCTTGCAAAAAGCAAATTGTTTATTTTTACGATAACTTGACCCCCCCAAAAACCAACGTCAGACATTCCACACCAAATTTTGCTTCACATATGTTTGAGGTTGGTCCTTAGTGAAGTCCTCTGAAAAGTTTCATGTTGGTGTCTAAATGTCTTCAGTGGATAGTTGGGCTTTATAAAGAGTCTATATCTTATGATGCTGCAGGTTCCTTAACATACATACATGTACATGTACATGTACTTGTATTTTACGGAACCAGCACAACAAAATCCCCCGACTGTTGAAAGACTTGGGTCAAGACTACCCATTTCCTGCTCAATAAACAGTTTAAATGACTTGAGAGTCTTATTCTTTCCATGTGCTCATCACACAGCATGCATGTCATGTATGTAGTAATTAACCAGTTCTCACTTGCACAGCATAGTATAGCACTAGCCTGAACCAAAGAGAAATGATTCAGTTTGAGTAGAGGGTCTATGGTTTTAACCTGATTGATCTTAGTTTTCATTATGGATAACGGGAAACCTAGTTCATCCAAGGAGTTGCATGTATGGCATGCTCAAACTCATCATGCACCAATTGTAGCAGCTGACCTCAACCCAGGAAAATATGTTTGTGTGGTCTATGCATGATGTTTGGTACATTGCTATTGTAGAAGATGTATCACAACTTCATGAGGATGTGTATGTCCGCTTCATGTACAGGACGGAATCAACAAATGCTCTCTATTGGCCACAAAGAGAGGATAAATGTAACATTCCATTTGTTGATGTGTTGTGTTGCGTACCAACACCAGAACTTCTACATAGCGGTGGAAGTCAATACAACCTTAGTGAGCCAGCCATTATGCAACTCACTCAACTTCATCAAAACTACATCACAAGGAATGCATAATTCCACCTGTGAAACTGTAAAACAATTATATCAACTGATCAAAAGTCTACATGTACAAATGTAAGCTAAGTTTCATACCCAACTTGTTCTTTATGTACCGACTGCTGTTATTCTAGGTACCGGTACGTGTACTTGTATGTTACGGAACCTGCAGCATCATAAGATATAGACTCTTTATAAAGCCCAACTATCCACTGAAGACATTTAGACACCAACATGAAACTTTTCAGAGGACTTCACTAAGGACCAACCTCAAACATATGTGAAGCAAAATTTGGTGCGGAATGTCTGACGTTGGTTTTTGGGGGGGTCAAGTTATCGTAAAAATAAACAATTTGCTTTTTGCAAGGGCTATGTCTCATTCGATGAAGTTAATATAAGTGTAAGATTTTACATGAAAGTAGTTTCAATTGGGGGCTATTACAGGCAAAAAATTTGGTGAAAAAATATTTTCAATTTTTGACTTACACCCCCCCGAACATTGGTCCAGATGAGTTTTGGGCCATTTTGGGGCCCCTCTAACTTACAAATGAAACAAGCTACTTTCTTTCTGTTTAAATATTTAAAATCTACAGCAAAAAATAGCCCAGATTACCAAGTTTCAAATGTCTGGGTGGTATAGTTTTAAATATATGGCCCTTTAAACATTGAATTTCATGACGCGACGCACTTTTGGCCCCGCCCACCTCAAATTTCAAAATGCTGTTGCGCAAGAACGAAAAGTCGTAGAGACCCCAAATTTTCAGAATTTGCATTTCTCCTAAGTATCTTTCAGTACACCAAAAAAGAAAAAAATCCAAGAGGTGATGGTGTGCACCATTTGTTGAGTTGGCATGGAATGACCCCATGACATAACACCACTCTAACATCAACTTACATGTACCTTGGTCAAATGGAACGTTCATTGACAGCATTAGTGTCTTCTGTAGGTTTTATATGAATTAATCTCTAATCCCTATGATCTCAGAATAAATACAAGATTTCTATTGTTTTAGCCACTGTGACCTTGACCCTTGACCTTTCGACCCCCAATGCGATAGGCTTCTTAGGAATGCCAAGGACAATCCACAAACCAAATTTGAAATTCATATGTAAAGTATATCTCAAGTTATCACGCTGACAAAATTTCTCTTGTTTTTGCCAGTGTGACCTTGACCCTTGACCTTTTGGCCCCAAATGCAAAAGTCTTCTTAGGATTGCCAAGGACAATCCACAAACCAAATTTGAAGTTCATATGTAAAGTATTTCTCAAGTTATCGCGCTGACAAAATTTCTATTGTTTCAGCCACTGTGACCTTGACCCTTGACCTTTCGGCCCCAAATGCAATAGGCTTCTTAGGATTACCAAGAACAATATACATACCAAATTTGAAGTTCATATGTAAAGTATTTCTCAAGTTATCGCGCTGACAAAATTTCTTTTGTTTTAGTCACTGTGACCTTGACCCTTGACCTTTTGGCCCCAAATGCAAAAGGCTTCTTAGAATTGCCAAGGACAATCCACAAACCAAATTTGAAGTTCATATGTAAAGTATTTCTCAAGTTATCGCGCTGACAAAATTTCTATTGTTTCAGCCACTGTGACCTTGACCCTTGACCTTTTGGCCCCAAATGCAAAAGGCTTCTTAGAATTGCCAAGGACAATCCACAAACCAAATTTGAAGTTCATATGCAAAGTATTTCTCAAGTTATCGCGCTGACAAAATTTCTATTGTTTCAGCCACTGTGACCTTGACCCTTGACCTTTCGGCCCCAAATGCAAAAGGCTTCTTAGGATTACCAAGGACAATCCACAAACCAAATTTGAAGTTCATATGTAAAGTATTTCTCAAGTTATCGCGCTGACAAGATTTGTCCGGACACACACACCCACACACCCATACTTGTTTCACATGACTAGTGTGGACTTTCCATTGCTTTCGTGTAGTTAAGAAAAACCAGTGAAAAAACTCATTTTTCTCAAACTGTGAAAACTCTTTCAACCCAATTTTTTTTCTATAATTCCCTTTAGTGTTTCTCTTCATTCTGCTACAGATAAACCTAACCCAAAAATGCCTCTAAACCTGTTTTCCAGAAATGGGGAAACACTGTGTGGACGTGGGGTAAGTCCACACAACGTCGGTGCTACCTACATTATGTGGACGTCTTTTGTTCGGAAGTCCACACTGCGTATGTAAGACAAACTCACCCACCCACCCACACACACACCCACCCACCCACCCACCCACCCACGGAAGGACAAGGCGGAAACAGTATGCCCCTTCGGCTTCGCCGCGGGGCATAAAAACACACTACAATGCTATAAATCTGACTAGTCAAACCCACGTTGGTTGAACAAAAGACATCAATTTACTGGCACTGGAGATCAATGTAGGGCATCATGGAATACAATGTCTAGACTCTAAACTCCCAGAGTCAAAATGCATATGGTGCTGAACAAACCAGCAATCAGCTCAAAGCCAGAAAATAAAGCAGTATTACATTGCATGATACTTGGGATGGAAAGCAAGTTTCTGAAATCAGCTCTATTTCCAGAAATGAAAGGTAACGCGGTCATCTAACAAGAACCCGGCACAAATACAGGTCACATTGTCAGAGAGCATGGACTGATGAACATACATGCACATGTACTGTGTTGGATATCAAGTATTTTATGCACGAGTTGTGCAACAGATTGCCACCTGAATAAATCCAACCCAAATGGAATTAGTCAAAATGTTGGCCTCGTATTAAAGTATTGGATGTTCCTAATGGCCCCTTTTGCGTGGCATTCACCAATACTGTGGGCCTTACACAAATCAGACATTTGGAGGTTATGCTGACATGGTGAAATTTCTCACTGTTCTTCTTTTCTCATCACCCACTTCACAACTTATGAAAATCTTTGCATATTCAACCATCAACGGAATATCTGAATAGTATTTTGTTTTATTTCAAATATTTGAAAAACGTGAGCGGTCTTAAGGAGCTGATGAAAAACGTATGAGTTCTGTGGTTTTGTATGCAAATGCCACACTTGTCTCGAAATCCACTATAGCGCACACGATTTCAGAGTTTACATGAGAAACTTTCGCTCAGATTGTTTCTTTAAAGTCAGTCAATATCAGTCACCACTACCCGCTTTTTAATATTATTTTAAGCTCTTTGTCATTTCCCAACAAGTGCAGGTGCATGCACATGCCGATCAGAGGCCAATTTAGGCTGGCACATGTTGAACTTGATCACTGCATTTCAAAATTGAATATTCGAATAGTCGTCCAGTCCAAATTTGAATAATTAAATGCTTAATTATTCAAAAGGCACAGCCCTATAATTATCATTTTAATGGCAGCCAAAGTCGGTGCCACAGTTGCCAAAATGCCACTGTTTATTATAAAAGACAAATCCTTCAGCAAAGATGTGCTGATCATGGTTGTCATTACTGGGGGTATACAATGTATGTGAGTTTGCAGTCATTTTGTGTCTGCATTAATGTATACATGACAATAACACATCATGCTTTTGCCTGTGTTGCTCTCTTCTAGCTGTGCAGTGAGAGGATGTATACAGTACGTTTACCTTTCTATTTGTTCATTTAGTTTCTCCCGTGCCAGAAACTGTGCATCTTTCCTGATCTCCCGTATAGCTCCCTTCATCTCCCTCTTGTAGTTATGTAACAATCTCTGTTTCTCATTCTTTGCACTGCCAACATCCTTTTTCTTCTTGCGGATGGGATCATAACTACATGTACAGTGGAGAAAAATAAAAATAAAAATTCAAAGGGTCATTCCAAAACTGTGGGTCCAAAAGTGTTACTTTTTTTGTGTGTGTCCCTGTTACACCTGTGTAATTTGCCATATCATTAAAACTGACTTCAAACTAATTTATATTTGTTTTATATTCGTTTTACATAATCACTCTTGGAGATAAAAGGCATTTAAGAAAGTGTCCTGAAATTACAAAATCTCATATTAGATGTAACAGGGAAACAAACAAAAATTGACCTAAAATTAATGGAATGACGCCAAACTCATTCTCAAACCTTTCAGTACCATTTACTTGTTGTGTCAAATACACAACAGAGAATGTGTCTGGACACATTCTCATTCAGCAAATTGCAACTACGTGATGTCGAACGAGACGTGACGAATTATAGCAACTGCGCGCCCCGAATTAAACATGAACTACTAATGGAAATTTCCAAAATGTGTCTTTAGATGCATCGTTGGAAATGGCCTTCTTTCATTGGCTCTAGAACAAAAATGACTGGACTGAATCGGGCGATCTTGGTTGCATTTTCTTCTAAAAGGATTCTTCATCAATTAGTTCAGGTGGTTTGAGTCTCAAGGTAGTGGAAGCATGCGGTTCTGGTTTTCTTGGACCACCCTGTATAGTCCCTGGGGATCATGTTGGCAGATCTAGTCACACAATGTACTTTCTGACTGTTTCAATATGCACAGTGCTCACATCATCTAGAGCTGAAAAAACCATTCACATGCTAATAAATTGAAAACTGCGACACAATACTGTACGCCAGTCATTATTACTCCACTTGAAGTCTTGGATGTCATTACGATAAGTGCTTCAAAAAGAGCTGTACAAGCTAATGGCGTATTACATGTCGGGCTGCGTTGACACGTCACTTATTACTCTGGAGAGTTATTTTTGCACGCGCAATAACTGCAGGAAGAAGACAGATCACTCACACAGTTAGTGATAGCATTTGGCATTTACAACCTGGCCACAATAACAGCTTACACTTATGGGCCTTATTCACCAGTCGGCCATATTGAATTGAAAGTTAGGTAAAATCTTATTTTTTTAAACTTGCGAAGAGAAATGAAAGCAACTTAATTTAGATGCATAATCAATTCCAGTCTGCCTCAATAAATAATTTTAAATTTGTAATTAAACATTCCCTAATGTTTATAGCCATGTTTAAAAAAAAATGTCAAGTAAAATAAGGCTGCATTGTGCCTGCATAAATAGTCTGGTGCCATCCCATTCAACAGTTAACAATTAATGAAATACATTTAGGGAACTCGACAAAAATGGCCAACTCGTGAATAAGGCCCATTGTTAACAAAGTTATTGTTTTCATGTGGAAATACATCATGTACATGAATACATTAGCAGAACTAATCATGTCATTTAACCCTTACTCTCTGAGGGTAGTTTACTGCATGTCAGTTGGTTATGCCAATGCCCTCCAGCTGCAGTTATTTGGCAGATAACAAGTCTTAACAGTGAAGGCTCCAATTGGCAGGAGTTGGAGGCCCTGGAGGGTGCCTGATACTGACCAGCTGGGGGCACTCACTTTGTTATCAGAGGACTCTCATTGTTCTCTGTGGCATGTATTGGAGTGCCTGTCCAGTTACCCTTGAAATGACATGGCAGATATTGGAGGGCCATGCAAAAAACATAGGAGATTTTCTTGAGGCACAATTGGCATGCATTGGAGGGTCAAGTAGGGTAAGGGTTAAAGCACAAGTCATTGGGTGCATGAGTATACCCACACGTACTAACCAATGGGTTGTTCCCTTGGCATTTGTGCACTCATAATTATACTCTCATTAACATAACATGCTCCAGTGCAACCTATGCGTCTGACTGTTTGAAGACAAATCTATTGAGAAATAGGAGCATGTTTTTACAGGTAATTTTGGAAGCAGGCATCTGTTCCTGTGATAGTTACATATTAACCCTAACCCTCCTCAATCCTCCAAAATCCTCCTGCCGGTTTTGGACGAATTTAGAGGATTGAGGATGAATGGCAAAGATGTATCGCTTGATTGTGGAGGATGTATTATGTCAAGCCAGTAGGTCATATCCTGCATTGGTTATGCTCAGCCATGCATAAATCAGCACTGTGGTTTTTCTTGTATTTCATCCGCACTGCTTCTTAATGCCATTCGCATTGCCTCAAACCATAGCAGTAATTGGCAGAGGATTTTGGAGGATTGAGACAGTGGTCACCCTTCACGGACTAACTTCAAGAAAATAACGGATGATTTTGGAGGATTGAAGCTGAAACTAATTTTTTCTTGGTGGCAATTGGGGGATTTTGAAGGATTGAGGTTGCATCCTAGCCAGAGGGCCTAAGAGTTTAGGGTTTAAAGACATTAAACCCAAAAGTGAGTGTTTCCCAGTGTATGCAGTGCACATCACACCCAAGACGGCCAAATAAAAATAGAAAGATTTTTGTCCAACTTATCAACAAATGTATTCAGAGGACAACTGTAACCAAACAATTGTGAATGGTGTGCTTTGGTCAGGTTAGATGTCAAGAAATGCAGCGAAACTGATTCAAAGGCCACTACCCCTCAACAGAGGAAATACTATCAACTGCAATCTGATCAATATGGAGGGTCTGCAATTGGAATAGTTCATTTAACATTCCTTATAGCAAAAGACTTTTGCCTATTTTGGTTTATAGGCGGTTAACTGATCAATAAACGTTGTATTTCCTTTCATTAGGGTTGTGCCAGAATCTCCAAAGACAGTTTAAGTGTATCAACCATGAAACAGAACTGGGTATCAACCATTTAAGGATGGGTTAGGGGTATCAGTTTAGCCGTCAAGCACTACTGAAAAAGTTCTAGAACATGATTCAAGGATAATGTACTTACTCTTCCTCGATCTTGGGGTCAAACATCTGCAGAGGACGCGGTCGTTTCTTCTCACGCTGCAGGCAGATCTTGGGTTGGTCACTCAGGGAGGTCACTTGCTTGAGCAGAGACTCATGCAGCCCCTGAGGGCAAAGTGCAAAGGTCAAATGTCATTTTAAGTCAAATGTCAATTTTTCAATAACTCAAATTCAAGTTTAACATAAAGTGAGTATTTACATTATGACAACACTTTTGGGCTCTTTCAGCATCCCTGAGTGTATTTTTGGTCCATTTGTCAAAAGATCTCTCTTGGATATTTTGTGAAGCTCAAGTTTTTACACTCCTTTGAGGCAAACTAAGAGTTTGGTAGGAGTCCCTGTGCAATGGGGCTCCGAAGTACTCACCATTTGCACAATTACGTGTGTCAAAAATGCAACTTATTTCCATCAAAATGGCTCAAACCTTTAACAAGTAAATGTAAATAAGCATCGGTATATGGTAGCAATGGTGATCAAGTGTCTGTCCTATCTCTCTCTTTGAGACAGCACAGGCGTCTATGACACTACATAAACAAACCTTTCTTTATATCTCAATGAAATAACAGGTACGTGTATTTGAAAATGCAATAGAAAATACAGTAAATATCCAACACGTTGGGCAATGAAAAATATACGCGATGTGCTCTATCAAACATAGACTCTTCATAACATCTAGTCAATATTGTAAAATATTAATTTTTCCTTACAAGTGCAATGATGGTTTAAATTTCTGAAAATGGATTTTCCTAATAACAAAATTCTTCCCATTTTAAGTTTGTGATGTCACAAGTATAGAAACGCCTGTGAACGTTTCGGTTTTGCATTCCTTGAACAGATACATCTACGCCTCTAAAAAAAAATATCCTAAAACATCACCGTTATAGAGGCAAAATTAAGGTTTGAAATTTTACAGAATATTTTAGACATATAGGATCATAAAGTTGTAAAACACTGGAATTTTTTTTTTTAAATCATCAACACATTGTTTTGGGGTTGTATTGCCATTTTAAGCTCTGACTGCCCACAAGCATCTGGTTTGACAGAACACGTCACTTTAATATTAATCCTAGGAAAAGCCTCACAGCCACATACCTGGATATTGTCTGGGTATCTCTTGATGGGAATTCCTTCGGCTTCTAACCAGCCCCTGATAGGAGCAAAGATCTCTTTAGCACAGGTCAGTCCCTGATAGAGCTTGGCAAACTCCGACAGCAGGCTGAGTGTAGTGCTAAGAGCCCAGCAGCGAAACTCATCTGTCTCTAACTCTCTGGCTTCTGCCTGTGAGAGGACCTCCAAAATGCACTGGGGTTTGACCTTTATGTTTCTACAAAGGGGAAAAATTGTACCTAGATTAATAATCAAATCTTCACTCTGAACGTAGGCACACACACGCATTGCATAGACGGCGCTAATGAATTTTGGTGGTCTTGACTTGTAGTCCATTGATGATGGTGCTCACTTTGATTAATTTGCAAAGTTACTTGCCTGTAGTCATTTTCTGACCCAAACTGGCCAAACTAACAGGTTGTCCATGTAGCATACCAATTGTGTTGCAGCACATCATTTGTGTCACAAAGATGCAGAGAATAGTGCAACGTGTCAACAAATGTGTTGGCCTTGCGCATAGCTTTTCATGTACAGCCAGAAACCTCACAGAAATCAATGATTAAAGGGAATATTCAACATTTGCGAACATCAAAAAACAAAACTACCAAATTATTATGAAATACCTTACTGGACTGCTAGTGAATGACAGACTAAAGCATCCTGTAAAATCATGGCACCTGGTGTGCTGTCATTTTCAAGAAAGTGGTATTTTTGTATCAATTTCCAACGCTGGTCAGCCGACCAGCGTTCGAAACACCTGACTTTTTTCAACTACTGGCCCAACGGGTGTGAGCCAGCTAGACTGGTTTCCTGACCTTACAATTCCACGACGTCTATAAATTGTTCTGTTTCATCTTAAGTGGGGTCAGGGAACCAGACTACAGGAACATGATTCTTTGTTTGGGTTTTTCTAGCATCTACAAACACAAAACTTCAAACAAGTCGGTGTAATAATATTTGCTACAAAATACTAACCCCCCAAAAACCATCCATTTCTGAAAATTACAACAAAAGCAAATGTTGTATATTCCCTTTAAACTGCAGTGATTTAATTCATTTCTTGCAGAGCAACAAATCTTACCGCTTTCACTTATTCCCATGATGTAACAAGACAATAGTTTGACTGCAGTGGCGTGGGTCATGTATATTTTACACCCTTTAGGCAATTGTATAGTTGAGTCCATCACAAGCCCAATCAAGTCCTTTCACAAGTCCTTTCACAAGACTAGCCACAAGTACCAGGTAATGAACGATGAGTAGCATGTGACTGTAGTTGAGACTGGTCTTGTGAGGGCTTGGATGGACTAGGGTTTGACTAAGTGTATATGGTGCCCTCGGCTTGACCTGAAGTGACATAATGCGACATGTCACATCACAGTGGTCAACATAACATCACATACACTTTGACAACTACCTTGTGACTGTGTTGCTGTTAGATTGTAACCTCAGAACATCAATGTGCCTGCCCACTGGCTTGAATGGAGGGATGACATCATAGACATGACCCAGCTCCTTATCCATGGCAAGGAACATCAGACCCCTCAGGTAGCTGATAACCTCTGGTACATATCTCTTAGAGAGCCGAACATACTGTCAGAATATAACAAAAGCAATCAAAACTTTGAAACTCAACAATCTTTCTGTTAAGATCCCTAGTCAATTTTTGTACATCATTTAACATAATTCATGCTTTAGCAAGATTAACACAGTTTAATTTTAACTAAACTAAAAAACAAAGTAGTAAAAGAAAATTACCATTTTTTATCGAGGAGCCTTGTTTTATCAATCCTGACTGAATTTCTAGAGTCACAACACACCAATTTATTCCAAAATTTGAAGCAAGTCCATGAAAAGTACGGCACTTTAACAAATTTGGGTGCCTACATCAAGCTATGACCATGCAGTCATAATAGAAAGACTCCTGATGAGTATGGTCAATGAGAAATTCATAGTTCGCCTGTATGGAAACAAAATCTGTCTGGACTGACCTGAGCCACTCCCTATACTATTTGGTTTGGCTCAACTTTTAAATGAATGGGTGTTAGCAAACAAAACCAGAAACATTGTTCTGGAGACAGAAAATGTCGGCATTAGAAAAGGCTTAAAAGAGCAGTTAAGCCAAAGACATCAAATTATAGGGCCTATAATGTTTTGAACAAAGTAGAATATCCCTCAAAAGGAAAATGACATGGGAAAACAAGAGCAACCAACAAGCAAGAAAAACGAGCAAGCAAGGATGAAAGGTAAAGGGCCAAGGAGTGAGGAATGTAGGGTAGATGGGCAAGAGGAGGGAATCAGAAACAGAAGGGAGAGCGGGATGTAAAGACAGCAGGGAAGATCAATGGGAAAACAACAATGAAGGTTTTAAACTCAAAAAGCCACAAGTTTCATCTGCAAGCAATGACAATATGGGCAAATATAAAATGATTAATCCGAAGCGCGAGTGTCTTTTGTTTACAAACCTTTAGAAACAAATTGCACAAGAAGAGGCTTGATGCCACATCCCTGCACGTCCGCACTGGGCACTGGGACAGGATCTGACCCATGAACAACATGGTTGGGGTCACCACACTGTGTCGAAAGTCAGAGGTCGAGAAAAGCACTCCCACCAATCTGAAATACATCAACTGTAAAGAGCACAACAAGACAGTCCAATCATAACACGATGTCTATTACCACAGAATGTTCAAACAAGTTGGAAACAAATGGATACAGACATATCTGGAAGTAACTACTCCTAAAACAAAGGAAAACCAGTGCAAAGCAAAAACCAAAGGGAAGTAGTGCGAATTTAAAATGTCCCAAGAGGGCGGCTAATTTTGATTGCCTCCCAGTTTTGTGTCAAACGGTAGACAAAAGCACTCCACATTTGGAAAGTGCAGAAATGTGTCGTAAGTGGGGCCCAATTTCATGGCTCTGCTTACCGTTGGCAAAAAAATCCTTGCTTACAGTAGCAAAAAATTCAGTGCTTAAGGTAAGCGTATTTCACTGGTTAGCGAGTAATTGCGACTTCTGCGCATGGGTACATCCCATAACTAAGAATTCTGTGCTTACAGGATTCAAACAGAAATTTTCTGCTAGCATGGTTAGCACAAAATGTTGATCATAAGCACGGAATTCTGTGGTTACCAGAGCTATGAAATTGGGCCCAGATCTGAACCAATGAAGTTTTACAATGTAATACCATGGTAAACCAATACAACTTATGCTGGTCCCCATGACATCTACTGGGCCCTAGTTCATGGGGCTGCTGAGAGAAAATGCTGCCGAGGACAATTTTATCCAAAGCGGAGATTAGCTGAGAACCAGTCACACAGAGTATTAATCTCATAACATTTTGGCTGGTAACCTATTCTTGTATAAAGCAAGTTGTTGCTCAGCAGCTTCACCAAAATGGACCTTAGTTCATCAAGACTTGTCTTTCAACTCACCGTATCCATGGAAGGAAAGACTCCCCTGCCTCTTCTGTCTGTCTCCTCAGTGAATCGTTGGTGTCTATCCACTATCAGTGTTTGCATGCATTTACCGGCATGCAATGATGACTGCTGTGTTAATTCATAGATATGTCTGCAAAAACAATACAACAAAAACACACACATACTGAAATTTGTATCCTTGTGGAGACATTTCTTTGTTTTCGTGTACTAAAGTTTTCGAGTTTGAAAGTAGTTTCAAAATGCTCTTATTTTAACCAGAATTAATTTTCTTGGCTGAAATTCAGACTTAATATCCCTTTTCTAAAACTCTACCATTTGCTACGGATCAACATACCTTGGAAATTCCTAGTTTTTGAGTAAAATCCATATATCTATTTCGTATACATATACAATCTTTTGTTCCCTATTGTGTGCATGTCTCCAGAGGGCACGGTGTATCGGATCAGCTACACTGCTTAGAAAGGAAATGTTGTGTACTACATCATACGATTGAACCGAAGTCTGCTATTATATGGGACTGACCTTTTAGTCCCCACATGGCTACATGGCACCCAACCCAAAGTCAATTGTTATATCGTGTGCTTGGATACTGTAATTTCATTGGTCTCGAACAGCCACATGTCCAGTCTGTAAAAAATAACCGTTTACTACATACACACTGCGTTCCAGTTATATGAACCTCACATACACTGCATACAATATACATAAATGAACCTCATACACACTGCGCGTGTCGGGCTTGCCTGCGCGTGCATGTAGGGCTTTCCACACATTTGCGACTGAGACTGCAACTGCTCAGTGCAGCCTCATATCCTGCAGGAAAGTCTGCAGTTATCAAAGGTTACACTGCACTGATTTAACTTCTTCTTGCTTAGTATTATTTAAGTTAAAACCATTTATCTTTTTTACTTATTGGCATGATATAACAAAACAATTGTTGACTGCTGTGATGTGGATATGTTGTTTTACACTATGGTATTAGATTGTGAAATTTCATTGACTGAGAACCGTTCAAGTGACGTATTGCAAAAGTTCATGTATGACAACCTAATGGACTCTGCAGAGTACACCACTGCATGTTCCATGGGAGCATTGCTTTTCATCGGTCTGAAAGACTTTTGAACATTTTTTGTACAGCACAGCTAGAATATACTCTGTGCAACAGGTAGGGGATATTATGCAAAACGTGCGCATGTCAAAGTATAGCTATATTAGTCGAAATTTAATTTTTTTTCAAATATGGTAAAATTATACATGAAATTAAAGCTCTTAATAAGAGAAATGTGATGGTACAGAAATAATTGGAATCAGTGCTTCCGTTCGAAAGTTATGGCTCCTTAAAGATGCAAATCCATGAAACCTTTCTCCGGTCATGCAGGTGGAATTCTTGGAATTTTAATTTTACATTCATTTGGTTTTCATTTTTTGTCAGATTTTGTCAAGTTATATATCAAATTGAAGCCCTTGATGTGAGCAATGCAATGATGTAAAGAAAATTGAAATAGATGCCTCCAGTCGAAACTTACAGTTTCTTAAATGTCCGAATCGTGGAACTTTAGTAGGTGATTTAAGTACACTTTCTTGGAATAATTCTACTTTCGCTATAGTTTCATATTCTCTTAAACATAGACAAATTATATATCAAATGAAAGCTCTTAGTGAGCAAAATGTAACCTTTTAAATGAAATTGTAATTATCATCTGCCATTAAAAGGAAACACCTTCTGAAAGTCACCTCTTAGTGACCTGAAAACATACCTCTTCATCATCTTTACTGTCTGTTACACAAAATCGTTTATTAGTATTTTTTTGTGAGGAAAGAAGATAATTGCCCATACATTATAAAATCTAACAGTGCATGTAAGATATTTACAATGTAACCTTTGTTTCACTGTTCTAATGTTCTTCTTCGATCACCAGGTCTCCAGCCTCAAGATCTTCAAGGAGTTTATAAGTGTAAACAGTGTCTGGTGATTCTTCGTAAGCAATATTGAACCATCTGTTTCAAATCTGTGGTGGACTCTCTTGTTGACAAGTCTAGTAGTACCACTGGGTTCTTCCTCTAGACGCTCCATGAGTTGGCCATCTCTGATCAGTTGCTTCACATTTTATGCTAGCTCATCTGGTAGTAACTGCCTCCTCTATTATATAGTTTGACATCACTTGCTTTTTGTTCCAGTAGGTTCTTTCTGAACTTCAGCTGTGCCTTGAGGAGATGTAACTTTTCAGAATTAGACAAGCCTATCATTGCTTGATCCACCTGTTCTTCACTTTGAAGAAGTCCCCAGTACAATATACCATTGGCTTGTTGGATTTTGGCATTAAGTTCCTTCTTTTTTGCTGCTTCTCCCTTCCGAAATTTTTCTCTTTGGAGCTCTGCTTTTTGTTCCTTTATTTTATTCTGTCTGTCTTTGAACTCTTTTTGGAGTCTTTTCACTTGCTTTCTTGATTCTTGCAGGATTTTCTTCTCCTCTTCATCACTTTTTGCGTCAAGCCACTCTCCAGTCTTGTTAAATGTAAACATCAGGCCTGCTTCTGCAGTTATTGTTGATATATGTGGCCTCGTTCGCAGCATTTGATCATAGAAAGATTGTTTCACAATACTTATTGTGCTTTGCTGTGCCTTTTGCTGCTGTTCTCATTTCTTCAGTAGCAGCTGCATATTTTCCTCCTGGTAGATGATCATGGTACAGTCTCTGTGTTAACTTGGCCAAGACGGGGAGAACAGAACCCAGAACTACTAGGCAATCAGCGTCAACTTCTGATTCAGCTATGACAGCTTTGTACAAGACATCATCTTTTACATTAACATCTGGAAAGGGACGTTTTTTTCCTGTCATGAAATCCTCCAAGTTGTTGTTAGACGCATCTTTGAGGAATGTAACCAACTGAAGGTATCGTTCATTCATGTCTATTATATTGATGTTTGGATCTTCTATCAATTTCCAGAGTGGAGTCGTGACGAGTTTGCAGATAAGACCCAACGCCTTGCACTCAGCCAGAAAGAATGGGACCTTTAGGTCATGTAGTACCCAGGTTGCACTGCCCTTTTTCTCTAAGAAGTCCACCATTTCTTGGTGCAGCCAGTATATGCAGCAGGCATTGTGAAACAAGATGTTAAATCTGTTACCATGATATGGTGTGAGAGGAAGACTTTGGTAGCCAGCGGCCTTAATGAAAAAAATGAAGACAAGAGAAAGACACACCGAAAGAAGAGAAAAAGTGAAGTAGTTAATCATCTTACCATATCATATATGATCTCTTTAGTTCAAGTTCCAAGGATATTCACGACAGTCTTGAGGTCGATCTTGAACAATGTGCTTTTAAGTAAGATTTGAGGCTTTGCATGGTGAAGATACTAAATAATGAAAGGTTTGCGGAAACACCATGTGCGAATAATTTCTCAACTAAGAGAATGGTTCTGAAAAGAACCAGAGGTATAAATGTGCTTTTAAATTTAATGTAAAAGAAAAGTTTATTTTAATAATAAAATTATTGTTATTACCTATTATGTCCGCCTGCCTGCATCAATCCGACTTTTTTTAAAAATATGACGGACCCCCCCCCTCCCCGCAAAATCACTGAATCCGCCCCTGCCACACCACCATCACCAAGGTCCAAAGCCACCATGCATTATCACCATTATTTAATTATGGTACCTTCATTGATGACCATCATAGCACCATCATCATTGACCATATCCCATTTATGTGGGAACTTTCATCTCCATCATCCATAATTCTTTTCATCAAAGCCATCATTTTTTTATCCTTTTTGTTATCATTAACATGGGCGTCGTGAGGAGGGGCAACCCCCCCCCCCCAGAAAAAAAAAAAAAAAGGAAAAAGGAAAAAGAGTTGCGAAGCCATATTGCTGTAATTTGATGGGGGGGGGTAGGGCAAATGCTCCCCTGCTCGAGCCGGAAAAATGATAAATTGAGAATATAAATATTAACAAGTTAATGAATTTTTGGGAAAAATTTGCTTTGCCCCCCCCCCTGGAAAAAATCCTGGCGACGCGCCCATGACCATTAATCATAAAGTCACACGCTACTAGTCAGCTAGTTATTAAACGTGATGGACGCAAAATCTGGCGAAATCAAGAAGGCACCCAAGTTTTGTTTTTGTCAATTTTGCACTGAGCGAAACAGATTTCAGCTTGAAATCTGGACTTTCTAGGCAGAAAATAAGCCACTAAATCCATTTATGGGTGTTTAAAAAACGTCCCCTAAAGTCTTACCTTCTAAAAACTGATTCAAACTCGATCAAAATGATGATTTTCTGTACCAGTGATACAAAAAACTCTTTTTGGGGAACTAATCCATCGATTTTGATCGTGAAAGTAGCTTTCATAACAAGAAAAACTTCTCAGGTTACTTCCTGACCTTTTAAAACGAGTATAAAGGTCATTTAAAGCGGAAAACACGTCATTTTTGTGACCGCCTTCAACCCCCAACTTCCGGGTCATTCAAACAAAAATGGCGATCGTGAATTCGGCCACGAAAAATCAGTGCTATGAAAAACTCATCAAAAGTCACTTTTTTTACGTCCAAAATGTAAGAAATCTTTCAGTGACATAATTTTGATAACATTTCACGCAAGTTTGGGAAGTTTGGGGGTGAAAAACTGAAAGGTGAGTGTTCTGTAGCGATTTAAAATTCGGTAATTTTACGTGCGCCGCGAATACAAAAGGTCAATATCGCGAACCCGCTGCGATAGCTACAAAGTAGACCCACATGCGAATCAATGCACATGCACATTTCATCAAAGACCAACGCATTAGACTCTTCAATCAAAATACATAAGGGTTTCAAAATAGAAAAAAAAATCCTGTGACATTTAACAATTGCTGACCGCTGTGAAGCTGAGGGTTCTATGCGCCCCAAGGGCGTTCAAAACGTCATATCCCACATCGCAGCGGTCAACAATTGTTTTGTTATATACCTCTGTCTTGGATTATATGGATTTTGATGTAAAAATCCCGAAAACAAACAGCAGTAAACACAACAATCATGACAATCAATTGTCAACTCACATGCATCTCGCGTGCTCGACATCGGCGTCGCGAAGGGCCCCCCCCCCCCCCCTAGTTCCAACTTTACCGTGCGTCAAGTTTGCTTGAAGATAAATTCGTTATCACGCTCGCGCTCGTGGAACACGGAAAATGTAGTGCATCTGTGTCCCACATACCACTCGGCCTTCGGCTTCGTGGTATGTAGGACACAGACGCACTAAATTATTCCGTGTTCCACACGCGCTCGCGGGATAACTAATATAATCACATAGTGTTTTTAAAAAAAATTAAACCGTGGTATTACACAACAGTTGTTGTTATATCGTGTGCTTGGATACTGTCATTTCATTGGTCTAGAACGGCTACGTGGCTGGTTTTAATATAAAAATGCATGTCACACACTCACAGTGATATCGCACTGCGTTCGTTGCACACGTTGCATGTGTGTGGAACCAGCCAGTGCTAGCTTTATGCAATGAGAACTACAACGTCAAATGCTCAGTCTCATGTCCGGCAGGACATCAAAGCCTTCAGTTATCAAAGGTTACATCACAGTGATTTGATTTATTTCTCACAGTAAGTTACAACCATTTATCTTTTGGAGTTATTGGCAAGATACAACAAAACAATTGTTGACTGCTGTGATGTGGGATGTGATGTTCATAACACCCTCGGGGTGCATGCGCTATGTGCCCCTTGGGTGTCAAGAACATCTTATCCTACATCACAGCAGTCAACAATTGTCAATTGTCTGTTGTGATAATAGTCTATGGGTTTTGTACCCCTCGGGGCAAATGGCACCAGCGGCTTCTCCTTGGATGTCATTTGCATCTATCGGGCCTACAAAACACCAAGGACTTCATCATAGTAGACAACAATTGCATAACATGCTGTAACTCACACTGAATCATTCGCAGGACCATGCAGCACCTTGCAACACATGCAAACGATGTGTACGTAGGATTTGGATTGATGTAAATAATGTCACATTCGGTTTTTAATAACCTTGAATTTCATGACTAAATGAAATCCATGCCAAGTGTCCAAGACATATATAACAAGTAGTACTGATCTCTCCAGTTTATGGATAAGAAACTATACTTAGTGTTTCATTTATGACCGTACTTTGTCAGCCCATCCAGAAATTCCATCCTGACCGAATCTTGGTTGACAACCTCCCCAAAGTACTGGAAAAGTATCGCCAGGAGAGTGTCTAGTTTGTCTTTATTGCCCTCAGCAAGGCTGGGGTGGTGGCAAGTACGTATTCTCTCAATGATTAGGAGTTGGTTGATGTGTGACTGGCCGCCTACAACGTCCATGAACTCTTCATAATTCTCAGGTGCTGTAGGCAGAATAAAAAAGTTTGTAAACTCAATTAAAATTTGTTTGTAATATTCCTGCATCCACCGAAATCCCTCACCGTGCAGCAAACCACTGTTACATTCTTTGCAACCTTCAAGGGGCATAGTTAGCTCCACACAAAGTAAGTGTCAAGGTTCTATCCTTGTGTAAATCTTCCAAACCTAGCAGTGGATTTTCTATGATCTTACCCTTCAAGATGGCGAAACTATGGTCTGATGTTGGACACCTAGTGACGACTATTAAACCTAGCTTGCCCAAACAAATATGTCCTGTAAGAGCTTTCTAAGAGCATGTAACAGCTCAAAATGGAATGTACCAGGTCATTCTTGCTTTTAGCAATTTTCATGTTAAAATTCCCCCCCCAAAAAAAAAATTAAGGAGAATAGTTTCCATAAAAGATTGCATCTGCTTCTCTGATATCACTACTTGAATATAAATAAGACTTGAAAGTCAATAGGTGTTGGGTTTATGGTAGCACTATGTACATGTAGTCAAATCTTTTGTGACTTTGTATGGTTCTGAAAGACACGGAACTGGTTTGAGTCTCATGAAGACTGTCCTAATTTTCAGGACAACACAGTCACAGAAGAGATTTGACAACATGGTGCTACCGCAACCCTCACGTTTACTTGAAGATGAAGTCACAGATTTTGCCTCCACAAGGAAACGTTCTGGGCACACAGCACAAGCCAATGGGTTAAGCATGTTTTTGTGTGGCAATTATTAGATTAATATATTCAGTTTCCCTAAAATTTCAAAAACAATTGTCTTGACTGATAATTCTCCATAGTAGACATGTGACTCTTTATATTTCCAACAGTCATGGTGTATTACAAAGATCATCCCATGGTTTGGAATATATTACTTCTGAGGACGTTTAAAGAAAAAACTCTGTCAGCTATCAATCACTTTTTGTCTTTGAAATTTTTTGGACAATCAAATTCTTTCAAAAATTGAAACAGATTGGGAAAAATCCTCCTAGGCCTCTTTGTTAGCAACCTTCCTAAATTGTCCACAGTCAATCATTGAGCAAGATGTGCATAGTATACAAATATTGAGTGGCTCAGAGTGGAATGGGAGGAGTATTATCGCAAGGTAAAATCTGGACTTTTCCATTTCACGAGGGGAAGCCGAGTGAACTTGAAAAGTCCAGATTTTACCAAGCAATAATATTCCTCCCATTTCACAATTTAAAGCCACTCCATATTTGTTTTATATAACTGACATAAAGATCCTTGTCATTTGATATCTGAACTTCTATTTCAATACAAAACTGAAGGAAAATGTATTTCTCTTTTCCAAACCCCTTCACGAAAATGTTTGAACCCAACCCTGTAGCGCTGGCTCTTTGGAACAACACACGCTACGCGCAACGCTGAACGCGCGCACCAGTATGTATTTGCACAAAAATACCGCGTCATGGAACAAGAATGACTCTAACTGTTCAATAGAATTCCCATTTCACCATGGGCGAATGGGACTATTTGAACCCCGGCGTGAATGGCAGCAATAACAAATGTCACGTGATGTGAGTTCCACCAATCAAATGACAAGGATCTGTATGCCGGTTATATAAAATATTCTACGTATATGTATCTTAAATAAGATGCATCAGTACCTACGTAAAATAATATTGACTGTGCTCTACCCTATTAAATCCTGCATAAACCTCAAAAGCCTCCTGTAGGATTTGGAGAAGCTGGGAATTGTAGGTGCAGATCAAGAGTCCTATGAACTAAGATTCCTGCTTACAGCTTATGTACAATTATGATAAGAAATACGAACCTTTAAAGGTGTATGGTAATTCCTCTTTTGCACTTTTTTGAATTGCTTGCATCATCTGAAAAAGAAATAATCAGCAATTTAATAAACAAACATATGGGCTTATAATGAACTTACAGTTCAAAAGTATGCTATTAAAGCACATCAGATAAATAGGGAAGTGGTCAGAAGATGTCTCTTGTCAAACCATAATCAAATCTGTGATATGGTAAGGTCACATAACATTTTCAGCATTAAGGCTGTGCGTTTTTGAACAGATAGCAGTGGCCGACATTTGACCAATTTTAAAGAAACTTGGGCCCATGTTCCTCATGGAAGCTTTCCAATCATGCACTTTCAACAAAAGTGTTGCATTTGACAAACAATCAAACCACAAACATATACGTGATTCATCATCTCCTTCAGACTGCCCATTTTACGAATATTGAAATTGAAAAAATGCTATTCGGATGTGTTGTTCACAAATGTGGGCTTTTAATGCATGACATAACAAATGTGGGCTTTTAATGCATGACACAGTTCGCCTTTTGTCCAAGTTTATTACTTACCGAATTTCATGATTCAAATGTTCTTATCATGATTCTACAATGTGGAGTTCTCATTTTACGATTATTAACACAGAGATGGATCATTACACCCCATAAGATCAATCAATGATAAACAAAGTTGACTCTTTTATTTTTATTTATGGTTTCTTTGCATGAACATTCTGAACGTGTACAAACCAATGTCTTCTTCGCATGAGCACCAGGTATACGGCTGAAATGCACTCAAGTTCTTCCTATCTCTCTCTTAAATACAAAAAAAGTGAGGAGGTGCCTGTGCAAGGGGTCCATAGTAACTGCAGACGTTATATGGTATGCTACCTCTTTTGATATGGATGGTTTCCTACTTGACGTCTCTTCTTCATCCTCACTCTCTGCATTTTCTGACTCCAAGTCTGAGTGGTTATCCTCAATCTCATCATCGTCATCGTCATCTTCATCTTCATCTTGTTCTTGCTCTTCATTATCTCCTTCCCCATCACTGTCATCCTCTTCATTCCCATCATCTTCTTCATCATCTCCAATGGAATCGTCATCTTGGTCTTCATTCTCGGATCTTCTGGATTGCCTCTTCTCTGGAGTTACAAGTGAAATGCAATACAAGCAATTTACCAATCTGATCATTGATTCACTGTACATGTACATTGACCTTAACCCTACCAACTCCATCAAAATTCATCCTCCCATGTTGGGGGATTTTAGCAAACATGGTCCTGAAGACTCCTGCTGGTTGGACTCAATTTTGATGGAGTATGACAGACTTGGGCCTGGAGGCTTGAAGCTTTGGTCCAGCATAAAAGTATTGCTGTTGTCAATTAAGCCATGTATACCAAAGCCATCAAACACTTCCACCAACACTTCAGTGGAGGATTTTGATGGATTTCGTGGTCCTGAAGCATTATGGGAAGCAGAGTGAGTGATGGATATTGACAGACATGGTCTTCGTAATTCGTAAACGTAGGGAGTAAGGGTTTACTCAGCTGCTAGTAATTTATGCCAAAGCACATCACATTCCATGATGGTGCCTCTGTATCTGCCATCGGTGGGGGCCTCCTTGAGTATTCTGTAATTGTGTGCCCAGACTGGTATAGGACATGTACAGAAACGCTGCTCATGTTTTTCCCACAAAGCATCATGTACATGTAATAAAGTCAAACTTCTTATTAATTGTACTCTAGGCAACATGGATTTGGCACATCTTACATGTTTTTTTTTATGCACATCAAGTAATTTAGGGGGTAATTGTTTGCTTGTTTACTTGTTTTACAATAGTGCTCGGTCATATATGATCCATGTCTAAACCAAACATTAAGCTGCAACCACAATGTAAGTTTTGAAGTTCAGATTTTAAAATTATGATTTTTGGGACTACTTTTTTATGAATCTCTCTGTATAATCACACAAGTGCATTAAAAGCACCTGAAACCACCCTGCCTGTCACTCACTGTAGCGCCCAAAACCGCCTGAGCACTCTGTGGTTTTATTGATTCTTCAGTGAATTAACACAATGTAATACAATGTAGTACATGTGTTTTGGAAAGTTATTCTTGGTTTTACAAAATCAACAGTGAGCGTCTAAGTGCAAATATCTCTACAGTCCTACTACTTGACTAATCTTTTTACAGTCCGTACATGCAATGAAAAGCCACAGCTGTTTCTACTGTTATGTGGCTGTGGCTTTGAGTTCTGGCATTGACTCACTGCAGTAAATATGCACAGCCATAGACAAAAAGACCATTTTGGACAAAGCCTTTGATGCAAAATGTCGCTTACTAATCCTGGCTCCAAATATGTCCATGTTGATAGCCTTTCCATCTTTATAGCTTAACGTAGTCTTAGAAATGGCATCCAACGCATACCTGCAAACAAACGAAAATAGTTGAGATCACCTTCGTTTAGGAACACCAATTTTATTTCAAAATGAACTTCCTGAAATATAATTCTAAATGCTCATATGCTTACTTCAACTTAACACGCATTTACCAGTTCTAATTATTAATGCTTATCATCCCAGATCCATCATCATTTCAGAAGCAAATTTTCAGACATGGATAGAAAATTTCTCAATTGAATCAGTTTTCAAATTGACATATCTCTACCTCTATGCAAAGTTAAATTGCATTAATTTGAGGATGCAGAAGATGAAACAAACCATTGTGTATACCAAACTTCAAGTTGTTAAGTACTGTGTCTGATAATTTCAAGTACAATGGCATGGGACTTCAATTTAGAGCTACCTTCAGTGACTTGAGAGTTATTTCTGACAAGTCTGATCGCAATCAATTGGTACAGTTCAAACCCACATTATTACACCAAATGCTTTTATCCTGAAGTAAAAATCATCAAATCATTTTGTGCACATGAGCAATTGGAATATCAATCTGTATGTTATGTGATCATGTACTCCATTCACCTCATCCTTTCAAATTGTCCACACCATGGAAATGAAAGGAACAAGTCCTACATTTTTAAAGTAAACTGTTTATCTTTACCCATCATTGAGGTCATCGGCCGATTGATGCCCCGCCCTCCGTCGTGCCTCTTGCTCCTCCCCCTCAGTAATTCCCAGCATCCTCCTCTGTCTATCCTGCTCAAGTTTGTCCAGTCTCTCCTTCTCATCTCGGGCAATCTCCTCTGGTGTCTTCATTCGGTCCGTTGCCTGTGTTTTGCATTGACACCATGGTTTTTATTTGGGGCCCCTGCTTATACTTCATGCACAACTGCTATTATCATTAAAGACTTGTGTAGTTCATGTCAATGCCAATTCGAAGTGAACTTGTTATCACCTAAATTATTGACAAACAAATGTGTTCAACTCAGCAAAAACGTGCCAAGATGTCATCAATTTATCTTCATTTACGCATTCACTCCTTGTATGAACCAACTGTAGTGTAATTCATCATTTCACAATATAAAATGCTCCAAATTGCCACATTCATTTTGATGCAACCATCTAAGGCCAAGAAAGGCTCCGATTTCTTGCCCAGCTTGCCTTATAAAGTCAGACCCTGTGTATTGGACTTTTCATATTTTTCTTCTATGAAAAGATGTCCAATTTTAGCCAAAACTGATAAAATCCTGCTGCTGTTTTTAATGGCTTTTTGAGCCAGGCTCTATCTTTCTCAATCTTAGAAAAATTCTCCAAATGCTTTTGTTGGATTTTGAAGGATCTGGAAGAGTTTGGGTTTTAAAATAAAGTACTCTATTCCGATTTTGGGCGTCTGCAACCATCTGTAAAAGGACTTTCATTTTACGCACAAATGAACCCGCCCTGAATGAAGAGCTGAATGCAGCCAAGAATTCAATTTTTGTAAAGAAATATTCAATTACTAAACATCGGTGGATTTTTTCATTTAATGTCTCATTCAAAAGTAAATAATTTGTATATTTTTTAAGAAAATAGCAATTAAAATAAAAAACATTTTCGAGGTGAAACTTGAAAATAGCACAGGGAAGGCATCAGTGTTGTATTCAAGGACACAACCTCCAAGGCCAAGGCCCAGGCCACAACCTCCGAGGCCAAGGCCACAACCTCCGAGGCCAAGGCCGAGGCCAGCTATTCGACACGTAATAACACATGCACGCACATGGAAAGCTGAAGCACTGGATAGTACTAGACAGGCTTCGCATTACGTGAGCATGCAAAACAGGTTGGTTCCCTGTCTCCATTATCGCTTTGGCCAATGCCAACTTGTGACGTTCACTCATTCAGGGGTGAACCAGGAACCAGTCTATAGCGGCCGGAGTAGACTGGTTCTACAAGAAGATGCTTCATGTTTGTACGTGCAATCATGGAGCTACAGTCCCATGGTGCAATGTAATGCAAATACCAGTTCATTCATTTGCGCGTACCTGCTTACAATTTTATTTCAATTCACGGAACCCACTGTGGCAGCTTCTCGAAGTTTCATACGGAAACAAATTTTAATTATTTGAAACAGAAAACACACGTGAATGGGTGGGACAAGTGCTTTAAGTGGGCGGCCTCAAGCTGGCCTTGACCGATTCATCGAGTCCAGAAGGCTCTGAGGCCAAGGCCTTGCACTCTGAGACCAAGGCGACGCCGAGGCCATGAAAATCAGCCGCAAGGCTGGCCTCGACACCTCCTACACTGGGATGCATCTTTAAGCTCAAAGATTATGCCACTGGTCTCCTGCGCACATCGGACGATTTTGAAGGATTGAGGAAAGCTCCGAACAAAAGACTGATCCAAACATCACATTCCCAATCTTCCACCTACCTTAGCTTTCACGTCAAACATCAGCTCTCTGACAGCTATATCATAGTCATCTGCTTTGGGCCTGTCTTTAGGGGTTGACTTATCACGCTGACAAGAAATAATGACAGACAAAATATGTCACGCATAATACAAACTGGGGCCAAATTTCATGGATTACGATCAAATTTTGCTCTAGTGAAGAAATTTTGCAAAAAGAAGCTGCAAGCACAAATTCTTAGTTACAGCATGCACACATTCGCAATAACCTAATCCTTTTATTTGTTAAATTTTGAAATATGGCAGCTAGGTACATTTTCAAAATTTGGAGTCCAAATTGTGATATTTTTTCCTGTCCCTGTTACTTTGGTACTTTGTATTTTGCTCTTCAAGTATCATTAAGAATGACTTAAAAAGATTTTTTTTTATTTGTAGGGTACTGTAGGTAGTTTGCTATTCATAATCACTATTCATAATCACAGGAGTGCATCAGAATTATATAATCACTATTGTCAGATGTAACAGGGACTGGAAACATAGTGAACCCCGAATGTATAGAATGACCCAACAGCAAAGAGTGGAAATGTTGGTATAGTTTATAAGGATGATCGCTTAGTGAGCCATAGCATAGTGCTGCAGTCGAACCGCCTACTGAACTAAAATTCACTGAACATAGCACTCCGAACAGAACTGAACTAAACCACCAAATTCTTCAGTTTGGATGTTCGGGAAGACAATTTTTAACACCGCATATTTTTTTAATCAAACTTTGCACCATTCTTTTATCAAATATTTCTTCTATGGAAAATAAAAGAACATTTTAGGCTGATGGTACTAACTTAAAACTTAAAATGAAAGGAAAGTCACGAAGACCTAATAAACGTGCAATAATTATAAGTGCACGTAAAAGTACAACGGCAACAACCATGGACTGGGCTACAGTGGATCATGGATTGAGCAAAAACGTGGAAATGTGCATTCACCGCCGGCACTGCTCAAATGTTAGGAATCCAAATTCAATGCTTGAAATAAATACCAATGTACATGTTAACAGAAACAAAGGAAACTTCACATTTTGTGACATTAGTTTATCATCTTTGTTTGGCGAGAACTAGTCTATGTGCTAAGCATGCAAGCTATCTTGGAGGCAGCCAAACATTTGCTATTGACATCGCGTCAAAGTTGGAGAAATACTTGGGTTGGCAATGCTTCCTGAGCTCTCAATCGCCATCGCTGTGATAGAAGAAATACAAAACATTTTGTGCTTCGAGCTCGTAAAAAAATACATTATCACCCTGTTAAGCAGTGGCAGTGTGGCATGGCCGGTTTTTTTCTGGCATGGGACTGGGTCCTACAAAGGGCTCCTAAAAGACAATTAGCCAGTTCTGTATTTCAACTGCGCATGTGAACAATGATATGGGTCACAGGTCATTCAGGATAATCGAACGTTTCGAAGGCCAGGAATGCAGGCGCACAACGCTTGCATGTAAATTACCAGCAGAATGGGCGTGCGCGTAACATCGTGTAACATCATGTCAGCGATGTTATCCCGAATGACCTCAGGTCATCAAAATACCAAACTGGCTTATTAACAGGTACAATCCCGCAGCAAATCGTTTTGACGTCCTAATTTGCTGCTGAACTCGAACTGGAACCAATGTTCAGATAAAAATTGCAGAACAGACCCCGAACCGAACCTGAAGGATCACTTTTCAGCACTACCATAACAATGGGGCCCAGGGCCTGATGCTTGCCATGAGCAAAGAATTTCTACTACTTAAAGGCGACATTTCTCGTCGGTAGTAATTAAAGCATATCAGCTTTTTTAAGCTATGCTGTAAACACAGAAATAAGCATCAAATTTTTGTAAAGCCAAACCAAATGAACACACAGAAAATAGGAAAAAAGTTACCTTGGAGCAGAAGATAAGGCCAGAGACCGCACTCCAATCCTTGTCCAGCTTTTCTGTAAGATTCACCAAGTCTTCTTTTTGGTGCTGACGATCGTACTGAGATGATGTAAACAAATAATAACAACATATAGCATGTCAAATACAGTATACAAGAAGGCTGTCTCACACAAAAAGCAAATGCATATGGTAATGCAAATGTGTGACATGCACTAACAAGCATTAGCTCAGCGAATTCATAAAAACTTGGCCAATTTCACCACAAATGTTTGATTACATCAAATACTTTTCATATTTTTAATTTGCTTTCACATAAAGCATGATGCTTGCCGTGATATTGTTCATGGGCTGAATATTATACACAAATGTTGACTGCAACGAGTGGTGATGTAAAACTATGGACTCTGTACTCAAATAACCCCTCGATGGGGACATTCAAACTTAGTGCAAATGGTGCATGATGTTACGCAAAAAATCCCATGGTTTTGTGCACATTCAGAATAAAACAAGTCATGAGAAATTCATGTCATTCTTGCAAATACAAGTACACACACACGGTGTGTGCCTCCCTACCTGAGTGAAGATATCTTAGTTTAATAATTAGAATGATATTTTTCATTACTGTGTGACCTTTTTACCTTGTCTTTCTTTGAGTTTGCAATGACTTCATCAAGTATCTCTTGGCGAGATTTAGGCTTCGTGTCCTGCAAGGGGAAAAAGATAAACAAAATTTAACATCATAATGGTTTTCTATTAACAAAATTTTGAAGATAATTAAAGACTCTTCTACTTTTTTAATAATTGTTAGAAGACCGGAGGACTAAAAAAATCTGGAGATGGGAATAATATCTAGGTAAGGGCTTGTGGAGACTCTGCACTAATCTTGCGAACATACACATACAAGTATATTCAGCGTTCTCAATAGAGGCTGCACGGTGGGAATATCATCATGATCATGTAGGAAAGCCATGATCACGAGTATCCAAAAACTGTTCAGAGTGCACTCTTTCAAGATCACAATATGGGCTCTTTCATTATCATGGCAAATTCAAATGGACACATTTAAGCCCAATGTAAAAGGCTAGTCATTATAACTGTTGGTACACTGTTGGGCTTACGGCAGAATACAGTATGATTATAAGCCACAATTAAGTTGATGGAAAACTTGATTGTTGATTATTGATTATTACCTCTTCCTTTGTGTCTCCTGCTTTCTTCTTAGTCAGGAATCCCCCAAAGTGTTCTTCAGCCACATATTTTGCTGGAAGATAAATTGATAGATGGAAAATAGAAATCAAACCATAGACACTAGATGATAGTCACACTAAAGCCAAGCAGACAGGCAGTGGGTTGATTTAAGAACGGCTAGTCCTGCCATGATTATTCCATTACTCAATTGATAAATTGTTGAATAGGTTCTTTGGTAATATTTTTTTATATTTGATTGAAAGTGAATCACTTTGTGAAAATGAAGACTTTTTTTAAGTAGGCTACAGAGCAAGTTGCAAACCCTGGATTTGTCAATGGAGAGTTTTAACTGACTAGGCATGGCAAATATCAAGAGCAGAGTGGAAGGGAACTTTATCAACTTGATGCAGGACATATTTTGTATTCTACCTAGCCACATTTGAGACTCCCCTTTAGACTCCCTTTCCAGAAATAATTTTACACTGAATTAACATTACAATATTGACTGTGGGCCTATTCTTTCTTCCCAATTTTTGTATGACTTTGGAAGGCCCAAGCCACCCAAGCCCTCCCCTTGGATGCACCACTCAAAGGAGCAAAACACCCAACAATATTCCATGAATGATTTATATTCCCAAAAATAGGTTGGACAAGCACAATGACACAGATATATACTTAATGGAAATGTTAGTGTCAAAGGTATGCAAGTGATTCATGTTCAGTAATTGACAGGTGGCTGCCAAGCATTATGAAGACACAGTGGCTCAGAGCAATTAGATGATCCCTTTTATTGGCGAGTAAACCTTATTTTGGAGAATATTACATAAAACAAACAAACAAATCCATCAGCTGGATTAATCAAAACTGCAACAACAAAAAGAACAACTCATCTTTCAACAAATAATCCTATACTCATAAGCCTAAAGGGGCTTCATGGTACTTTCAAACATTGGACCCCCCTCCCCCTTCCCTTCCCCCTCCCCCTCCATACCTCCCAAGTTTCCATCCTCATCCTCATCATCACTAGCTAGCTGAGTGTCTTCAAACTTCTCCACATCTGCCAGTGACTGGCCATAATGGGTCAGCTCTTCCTCCTCATTCAGCTGATAGATAGCCTCCTTAGAGTGACCCCTCTGCAAAACAAAAATGGACAGAAGTCAGACCTGTTGGTCATTCCTGCTCAGGCTGTGCCACATATTCATTTACTCAACTATTTCATAGCCTGTTTAGTTATTGAATATCCAATTTCTTTTTTGATTCAAATATTTTGAAGTGAAATGCACTTAAAATGGAAAGATGTTATCATCCAACACTGTTCTGGCTCAGTCAATTAAATGTGCAAGCAGAACCGTTGTATGAATACATAATACCATTATGGGTGGGTAGGGCCGTCTAATTTCAAATAATATAGTATTCCATTAATTGAAACTGCGTTTGACCGAATATTCAAATCTTGCCAAGTAAGTTTTAAATGCGCCAGCAGCAACATACGTGCAGCGCCAGTCAAGATTTGCAAATAAAGTGGGATGGTTATAAAATATGCATGCAGTGATCCACATTATGGGCCCCTTGAGTGTTTTGCAGTAAGGCCTTTATCCTTCTAAAAGGATGGGAACAAGGAACCACCTTCGACAGAAATAGTGGCATCTGACAATAAAGCACCTCCACTTTAGTATTATGGGTGAACATGCGTATTATTATTATTATTTCAATATACAATCTAGAAAAAAACTAGTCGAATATTCGGTTGAAGATTGAATATTCAAATATATTCAGGACAGCCTTATGGGTGGGCGACAACAAGCACAGGAATATAAGGAATATTGCATGTAGGCCTATTAGGCCATATAAGGCCAGCCGGAGCCCACCCAGCAAGCTCTTTCAAAAAGGTAACAAGTCCATAGACAAGTAATCCTGACATGACCTTAAACTCTAGGCATTGTGTGGCAGTTTTTTGAGTAACTGTTGTCTTATGGTTTGCACAGTCTATTTGTTGGAAAAGACTACTTTTATTTTTAGTTTTAAAGTCGAACAAAAAATTGACTGGAGCAGGTTTAACCTTCGACCTCCGGATTGCCCTTCCGGTGCTTTACCAACTGAGCTATCCAACCCTATGTTTTTTATTCATTACTTTTTTTTTATTCATTATTAGGTTTAAAAAAGGGGAATTGATTGCACAGGTATTTGAACCTTTGATTTAAAAAAAAAAACGCATGGCAAAAGAAAAAAACTTGGTATAAGATTGTAATTATCATTCAACTAGTGTTTGTAGACAGAATGTGTAGTTGTCAGTACTAAGTACATTTTGTACATATTGACTTATTGAACAAATTCCTTTAGGTAAGATTAACTAGTTAATCAAATAGAAATGAAAACTTCTCTGCCTTTATTTTCCTGATAAAATATATCTTTTAATATTCGACATAAAGCTTCAAATGTCTTTTGGATATTTTACAAATTGGGGTTTAACCAATTTACAAGTTGAGTTACAACAAAAAACACAAAGTCCAGAAAAGTTCTATACATGTTCATGTTTCTCTGGGAAGGTTAAGAAAAGCTATCCCTTACCTGTCTCTCAAATGCAAATCTTTGCATCATCTTTTCCTCAACACTGAGTGTAGGATCATTCTCTCCAAATCGCTTATCGATGAACTTATTGCTTTTGTGTCTCTGCTGATACTCCTTCAGGAGGGTGTCTTTGCGCTAGAATTGACACAGAAGAGACAACATTCACAACAAGTCAGGAATTTATGTCACATGTGTTGCTGAACTTAACTTGGGAGTCTGTTGGATTTCAAACTTCAGCAACTGAATTCTTTAAAGTCTCTGTTAAGGAGAATACACGAGAAAGTGTAGATTCGTAATTTAAGAATTCACGAGGCGCGAAGCGCCGAGTGAATTCGTAAATTAAGAATCCACACTTGCGAGGGTATTCTTCGACTTAAACCATTGCGACAACAGAAGTATTGGAAAGAATGCTGCAACCTGACGCCACCTTTTTCTTCATATATCATCTCAATGAAGGCCATTCGTTCCAAAAATGATGATAAGACATGAATCTGGGACTGATAAATATTTCCAAAATTTTTAGGAAATACTTGAAATGACTCTCCATAGACGTTGTACACAATTAAGCGCGGAAGTGGCGTCAGGTTGCAACATTGTTTCCTGGCGTGTTTAGCATGTGTATCGCCACACCAGTACAACCAAGTCATTTTGTGTGTATAGGCTCCAATGGATAGTTCAGACGATGATTTCTTTCTGACTAAAAGTAGATTTTGCAGTGACGGCGGAAAATCTGACAGTGAAGATGCATTGGTAATTTTCGGAAAGCTAATTTTCACGCAGACAGTCCTATTCATGCTCATTATGGAGAACAATTGTCCGAAATGTTCAAAGTGTGGATTCGTAATTCCGAATTCACACTTTACTAAAGATTCGTCGTTCTGAATCCACACTTTGTGACCAGTGTAAGAGATTCGTAGATCCGAATCCACACTTTTAACAATAGTGTGACGTCATAGCAATGGTTTAATATTAAGAGATCTCCTAGAATACAGGGTAGATGAGACCAGTCAATCCATAGAAATGTCTGTACTCGGCAAATGATTCACGGAGTTTGAGAACAGATGGCTGTACACTGTGTAAAGTTCTACAATTGAAGTACCCCATGTCAAGTGACCGGGCATGCATCTGTACGTGCTCTGTACTGTATCTCATAATCCAGTACATGTTTCAGCACATGTCATTACCTTGTTCAATTAAAGGGAAAATACAACATTTGCAAACATCAAAAAATAAAACTATCAAATCATTTTGAAATACCTTGCTGGACTGTTAGTGAATGACAGTGTAAAGCATCCTGTAAAATCATGGCACCTTGGTATACTGTCATTTTCAAGAAAAGTGGTATTTTTGTATCAATTTCCAACGCTGATCGGCCGATCAGCGTTGGAAACAACTGGCTTTTTTTCAAATACTGGCCCCAATTGACCATCGCACTTGTTTGCAATCGATTACAAACCTATGAACGGGTACGAGCCAGCTAGACTGGTTTCCTGAACTTACAATTCCCCAATGTATGTAAACTGCTCTGTTTCTTCTTATATGGAGTCAGGGAACCAGACTACAGGAAAATGATCGTTTTTCTTGGTTTTTATAGCATTTTCGAACCCAAAACCTCAAAAAAGTCAGTGTAACTATATTTGCTATATATTTCCAACCCCCCAATTCCATCCATTTCTGAAAATTACAGCAAAAGCAAATGATGTATATTCCCTTTAAATTTCAAGTGTCAATGCAACAAGTACACATCAGGGTCAGTTGAAGGAATGCAAGCCTTTGCCTAGAAAGGCACAGCACTGGAGAATTGAGTAACTGAAAAGTTACTTTCATGATTTGAATATGATATTTCACATATTTTATTCAAGTCAATCTATAAGACAAGCATAGAGTCACCACTTCTCTCACTCGGCCATATTGGATTCCCAGCATGCATTGTACCGGTAGTTAGTTGGGTGTCCATGAATTTTAGTCTCATGTTAGGCCTGGGCAAAACATTGGGGTATATCCAAAAATGCACATATTCATGGTTTAACACACACAAAATGACAAAGTTTTATAATACATGTAATTGAATTAATTGTCTTTGTACCGTATTGACCTCTGGTAGAAGTTATGAGTGATCGTAAAAATGTCCTACCATAACCGATTAGCCAAAACATTCAGGACTGATTGTAATAAGTTCCATTGTGGCCCCACCCCCTGATACCCATAGGGCATCCGGTTCGTTAGTAAAAACGTCATACATGCGCGCGTGCACCACTGGTAACGCACCACTGTCCCTGGTGTTCTTGCTGTGCGTCACAATCTGATAGGTCACTGTGATCTTCGTCAGGGCTTTTGTATCCTTTAGTATCACTTCCACTGCTTCGTACAACTCAATTTTTTTTAAACCTGAGCACAGGCTAGATAATATAACTCAGGGTGAGCATAACATTGTGTCATAGCGAATACACACTATCTACTGCTCACTTCTCACTGAAAAATATAAGAGGAATAACTAAATAATTGTTGTCTCTTGTTATATGATCTATGGGGTTCGTAAACACTCAGTGGTAGGGGGCCATTTACCCCCACGAAGGTACAAAATGCCACGGACCACATCACAGTAGACCACACTTGTAGATGGTTACCTTTTTGATAGCTTTGGACCTAGAGACCCCAGGAAGTCCCTTGGAATGCTTGCTGATCTTCTTGCCCAGGATGTGCTGCTTCTGACGGTTGATACGGATCTCAAACGGGTTGTTCTTGACCTCTTGTGTGGTCCTGTTGCGCCGGATTTTATCCGACAAATTCCTCTTGTTTTTCTTTGACTTGGCCATTATGTGGATGCTACAGTATTGGCAACTCTGTAAAAATGGTTGTGAGAAGGTAATTTTGGGAGTGAGCGAAAAGAATTTTTAAAAATAAAATAAAAAAATATTCCAAAGAAAATTGACAAAAATACAACTTCCTGATTTCTCTTTTGGTGAAATTTGCAACTGCTGTTTTGTGAAATGCCATTCTCCACGAGCACATCAACAACAACGTAATGGCTACATGTATGTCAGGGGTGTGAGTGACCACCGATAAAAATAGCTGAAAACAGCTGAAAAAGGTGTTTAAAAGCTGAATTTTGGAAATCTCCTATACTTTTGTACACAGCAAGTGAGGGAAAAAAGCTGAAATCCAAAACAAAAAAAGCTGAGATTTCACACCCCTGGTATGTATCAGGTAACAGCCATTAGGTATTGCGATATTTGATGAGCTAGATATACGCCATACAGAAGTGACTTCATAGCCGCATCCATATCTTTTGTTCAGAGCTAATGTCTGTCAGCTGTTGTGAATACATGGGCACAAGACGTAGCCATACATGTAGCTTTGGAAGCCCATGTTTTCTTCTGTCTGTCCCACTAAAAACGAATCAGGAGTGATGAATGAAATGAACGGCAGCTTCTGGACTAAAATTAAGAAGCAAATTTCACCAAAAGGAGAAATCTGGGAGTTGTACTTTCTGTGAAAAAAACTGTACGCTTGGGTAAGTGAAGCCGGAATATCGGGCTGAAAAAGTTAACTTTTGGTATCAGATACTTTTGCTATCGACATGAGTAAGGCCTTGGATATGTGGCCTCGTGATTGGCCCGTCTGCTGATGCCGCCCGCGATCAGGCGCGCGAGTTGCGATGCGACAGCTTTTTCTTGTACAATTGATTCGCCCGTACTTTTATGGCTGTGCACTATAATACTATCGGTTGATAGATTGTACAAGAAACAGCCGTCGTATCGCAACTCGCACGCCTGTTGAGCGACAAGATCGATTTGCATAAGCGCGATGTCACACTTTGGGGTCATCGCTTCGTACATTCAAAAAAGACAAAATGGCTGCCATCAACAGACTATTTGGAATAATTCGGCTACCGGATCACCACTTTTTTCAATTAATTTTCTAGCGCCAAAAGGTACATCTTTTACGGTTATTCCCTCCACTTTCCCTCCTCTACTCTCACCCTCTCCTTTCCTTAATTTCTATTTATCAATCAGTCACTTACTTCATCGAGATTCGAACCTCGGACGCTTGCTTGATACACGAGACTCTTAACCGCTAGGCCGCGCACGATCGCTGTTGCAATGATCAACCTTTGGACGTATTTGAAGTATCCATTAAAATAAACTAAATATTCATGAGAAAATAAATATTCATAATGACGTATTGCACTATCATTGGCCGGCTCATGCGACGTCATGGTTATCGATGTCATGCATATAACGTACCGCTGTTCCAGACACTTCAATCAGTTTTGACCAGCTGCTTCAACTCAGATCTGCACTACATGTGCATGCAAAACGTGCTCTAAAAACACATTTTTACAATTTTTTTTTCGCCTGTCTGCTGTTTCCTGGATTCCTCTTGGTTGAAAACACAAGGTGAGGTGAAAATTTGGATGTTTGGCAGCAGGTAAGTGGTGATCGGGTAGCCGAATTTTCTCAAAATTTCTCGGAAAATTGGATACTATTACACCTAAGCATCCTAGAAGTGAAGAGCTGAGACATCATAGAATACAAACATATGTAAGAAAATTTGCGTAATTATTTGAGAACCTCCTCAGTAGTGTGCGATACCCTGGTGTGTGGCCAGAGGTTCAGCGCAGCATACCGCGGCCACACTAGTGGGGCTAACCGCGGCCACACTGTAGTAGTAGGGCTATCCACTTCCTAGCCCCGATAGTGTGGCCGCGGTATGCTGCGCTGAACCTCTGGCCACACACCATGGTACCCCGCACTACTGAGGGCTTTTTTATAAAATTTACAGGCAGTTTCTTACATATGGTTGTATTCTATGATGTCCCATCTATCACTTCTGGGATGCTTAGGTGTAATGATGTTCAATTTTCCGAGATATTCTTGAATCTTTCTGGAGCCCATATGCACCCGTGAAACGTCTGGTGATGGCAGCCATTTTGAATGTGACAAGAGATGACCTCAAGCTGTGACGTCGCGTTTATGCAAATTGCTTGTCGAGCGAGGGCGCGAGTTGCAAATGCGACGGCTGTTTCCTGTGTCGCGCGCGTCGTCCAAGCCGTCGACATCGATGCCCGGCAGCGCATGCGCAGGATATTATTTTCATTTTGAATTGGATCAGGAAACAGCCGTCGCATTTGCAACTCGCGCCCTCGCTCGACAAGCAATTTGCATAAACGTGACGTCACAGCTTGAGGTCATCTCTCTTGTCACATTCAAAATGGCTGCCATCACCAGACATTTCACGAGTGCATATGGGCTCCAGAAAGATTTAAGAATAACTCGGAGAATTGAACATCATCACACCTAAGCATCCCAGAAGTGATAGATAGGACATCATAGAATACAACCATATGTTGTAAGAAACTGCCTGTAAATTTTATGAAAACGCCCTAAGTAGTGCGCGGTACCACCTGACCACGGTGTGTGGCCAGAGGTTCAGCGCAGCAGCGCAGCATGGCGCGGCCTAGCCCCATAAATGTGGCCTATTTACTGGACTGCCTCCGTAAACATAGGCCACACATCCACATGTACAAAAACGTGTCGACTTTGCCAAATTTTGATTTTCACATTTAGACTTAGTTTGTAGGTTTTTTTGCTTTAGCATTCTCACCCTCTATATAGGCATAGGCTAATCAGAAAGTGCTGCCTTCCTTCAGATGTCCATTTTTCGTGAAATTTCCAGATACATTTGCACACGTTTGCGTATCAAAATTTCAACATGAAATTTCACAAAAATTAGACATCTGAAAAAGGCAACACTTTCTGATTAGCCTCTATATAGAGGGTGAGAATGGGAGCAACTATAGAATGCAGGGCCACGCCGAAGCAAGGTTTTTTATTTTGCCTGGAGGCGTGGATGGAATAGGAGTAATAGATATGCAAACCTGCCAAAAAGTGCTAAGTACAGCGAAGGAATGCACTGCACTTGTCTTCAAAGCTTCTCATGAAGGATCGGAAGGGAGGGCGTGCTTGTAAATGTGTTGGGGGCACTGTCTGGAGCGGCGGAGGCGCGGAGTCTTGGAGTCGCAGAATCGCGGAGACGCGGGGCACTGGAGTGGCCGCAGTGGCGGAGGCGCGGAGTCGCGGAGTCGCAGAGACGCGCACCGATAGAGGGCGCAATTCTCGGCGGAATCTTTTGAGAACGAAGCATCCATATCCATTTTAATTGGGCGGGCCAATTAGGAAGGGGGGGGGAGGGCGACGGGGCACTGTCTGGAGTCGCGGAGGCGCGGAGTCGGGGAGTCGCAGAGTCACTTTAATTGGGCGGGCCAATTAGGAAGGGGGGGGAGGGCGACGGGGCACTGTCTGGAGTCGCGGAGGCGCGGAGTCTGGGAGTCGCAGAGTCACTTTAATTGGGCGGGCCAATTAGGAAGGGGGGGGAGGGCGACGGGGCACTGTCTGGAGTCGCGGAGGCGCGGAGTCGGGGAGTCGCAGAGTCACTTTAATTGGGCGGGCCAATTAGGAAGGGGGGGAGGGCGACGGGGCACTGTCTGGAGTCGCGGAGGCGCGGAGTCGCGGAGTCGCAGAGTCGCTTTAATTGGGCGGGCCAATTAGGAAGGGGGGGGAGGGCGACGGGGCACTGTCTCTCAGTGGTGGAGGCGCGGAGTCGCGGAGTCGCAGAGACGCGCACCGATAGAGGGCGCAATTCTCTGCGGCTCCACGACTCCACGATCGATTTTCAGAGGTAGGTCGACTGCGGTTCCACGCCTCCACGCAGCCGTACGGAGGCGCGGATGTAGAGTAAAGTGGCCCTGCATTCTATAGTTTTACCTGAGAAGGCTTCTAAAGCAAAAAAAACCTACAAAGTAAGCCTAAATGTGAAAATCAAAATTTGGCAAAGTCGACACGTTTTTGTACATGTGGATGTGTGGCCTATGTCATGTATGTTTACAGAGGCAGTCCAGTGAATAGGCCACATTTATGTAGCCCCACTAGTGTGGCTGTCGGTATGCAATCCTGCGCTGAACCTAAGCGCAGCATACCGACGGCCACACTAGTGGGGCTAACATTTATGGGGCTAGCCGCGGCCACACTAGTGGGGCTATCCACTTCCATGACTTCTTATGAAAACTTAATGACAATTCAGGTGGATAATCTTACAACTCAGGTCTACATCGAACCTTGAAATGCGTTTCCGACAACTGCTACATTGTATTTATCGAAACGCTTCAAAGATCACGATCCCGCTGACATCGACCGCACGCAACTCGATCGAGCATGCATACATCATGTACTTGCGTGACATCGACATGTGCGATAGAATATGTTCCCCGCTAGTCAAGTTACACATACCTCAACTCTTTTGTACTGCATAAAAATGGAAAGCGTCTAGGTTTCAGACACAAGGAGTCTCTTTGAAGATAGTAAAGCCCGCCCTCAATTGACCTGAAACTTTGAAAGCAGTTGCTGAGGTTAGGCCAAAAAAAAATAAGTCGGTCTCTGGTCAGCGCGCGCGTCGATTTTAATCATGCGCGTCGATCTTTTTTTTTTCCAAAATGTTCCGCGGTAGCTTCAACAGCGCCCTCTATTTCCGCACCTCCTCAATATTTTTTTACCAAAGAGCACCAAGGAATGGGAAATTGCACCAAGGCAAATGATCGAAAGCACCAAGGCAAATTATGGAGGACACCAATATACATGAGGACACCAAAAAAGCAAAATAGTACCCACCTTGTCTGTACAATCCAAGCTTGAAGAAGAAAAAAAAAAGCAAAGAGAAGGGGTGACACCTGAATATTTTTTGGGGGGAAGGGTGCCTAATTTGCATAAATCGTTAATACCTGCCCGTCCTGCCATGTAATATGTTTCAGTATTTGGGTATATACATGTATACATAATTTTTTAAAGTATATTTTGGTCATTCTACTTATACACATGTACACATCCTTACTTCAATGACATTTTCTAAAGCACATAAGTGACTGAATTATTATGAGGACAATTATTATGAGTAACGATCCAAAATGGCTACTATAGTATACAAATAATGAATGTTTGTGAGTGCAATGGAAAGAATAATTCATGAGGTGACAGATGAAATGTTCCATTTCACGAGGCGAAGCCGAGTGGAATGGAACATTTCATCTGTCACCGAATGAAATTATTCTTTCTATTGCACGAACGTAAAACATTCATTATTTGTTTTATGTAACACCTGAATAAATCCTCGTCATCTGATTGGTTGACTTTTAATAGCCAATTTATTCAGGTTAAAAATTGTTTACAAGTTTGACAAGTTCAGAGTTATCATATTATGCAAACTGTTCAACAGGTTGAGAACTATAATATTCAATTTATATCACCTTAAAACTTTTCCATAAGTTTAGAACTCAAACAGTTCAATAAGTTCAGAACTTTTATTGCCAATTTAAACACCACAGCGCCACCATCAGCAACATGTGCAGTGAAAGTGCAATGGCAGCCTCGACTCCAGCTGGGGCACGTGCTCGTTACGTTCATTGATCTAGTTACTATCGCGCAAGGCATGATGGGAAACAACATGGCGCTGCAAGATCGTACCCACGAGGCACGAGGTTGGTGCAATGGTACTTCTAATCACAGTGCAATAGTACTACCACTGCACTGCGCGTTGCGCGCCACGCGCGCGCCGTGCATTGGTACGAATAATTTGAGACATGTGATCAACGATCCACCAATCAGATGACAGGGATTTATTCAGGTGTTGTATAATATAGGCTAGGCTTACCCTAAAGCAGTAAAGTTGGGCGCATTAATTTACCTTGTCTCCAGATATCATCGAGTTGTCTTGCCAAATCCACGTATGAGCTTCAAATTCACCAAGTTGCTCACTGGCACAGTTACTCAATTATAAAACTTCATGGAAAATCAGGTAAACAATGATAATATTGTGATATTTAGCCCCCCAAAAAATAAAAACGGGGAAGAAAACACGAGGTGGCCGTAAACTAGTAAAGTTGACTCCAATCCGATTGGCCGGCGCGGCGCGGCCAGCTTGCATATACATGTATCTGCATGTCCATAATCAGACGCTATACAGGACTTGGCTCCGTTGATAACGAGTGATACTCAGACTAAAAGTGAAGGAGGCCAAGGCTGGAGATTTCGTTTTGTTTTAGGGCAATAGGGTTCGACCTTAACTTTTTTTTCACTAGCCAGCCGTGCTACCGAAACAGACTCATTTCGTGTAAATACTTCATAAGTGTCCACGCTCAAAAAAAATCGAATTTTTTAAAACTTTGTGGGATGAAAGGACTTTGGGAGCAAGTAACCAAAATAGACTTTTTAAACTTTTAATTTGCTCGTTGCCATGGTATTATGTGTTTTGGCCATTTTTGGGCAATTTTGAGGCTGCAAAAAGTCATTTTTTGCATTATTTTTAAAGGTCATCAAGCCAAACTGCGAAGTAATGTCACAAAAGTAACTGTATCACGACAAAGTATCATCCTTACCCTATTATGTTTCTCATAATTATTTTTGTCTCTGAAGTAGGGTCGGTTGAAAAAAATTAAAATTTCAGCTGCACCCGCATATAGATGGCTGGCAAGTGCATATTGTCTATAGTTTGGTTATTGCAATGAGTTTATTATGAGTTGATATCACTGAACATATAACATATAAACCATTATTGGCAAGATGTAGCTGAATTCAATTATTCTGCAGCTCACTAACCGTTGGCTGTAGTGGGAACCATGACAGTAAGGATATACTATAGACATGAGAGGCAACATCCTCCTACCTACGTCGCGAAAGAAACATTCTGGTATTCATTTTCAATAGCTTTTCAAATAACACAGAGCCTGATTGCATGCATTTCGTATTCATTATTTTTTGTTTAATATTGTGTTTGTTTGTTTGGTTGGGTTTTTTTTCTTCAGTTTTTATTAATGGGTTCCAAACAGGGCCGGCGAAAATACAAAAACGTTTTTTTTCTTGGGTCGGAAGCCCAAATTGGGTCGGTCGGAAATGAGAACCAAAGAAATAAGAAGGGATGCCCTCGAAATTAGCGGTAGCCTGCTAGCCAAAGCAGCGGCGGGCTAGTCAAACTATTCCTTAACTTTAGCCCAGCTTGTTAAGAGTCATTTCGTGTTAATACTTCATATAAGTGTCCACGCTCAAAAATGGACTTTGGGAGCAAGTAACCAAAATAGACTTTTTAAACCAATATTTTGCCCGTTGCCATGGTTACGTGCCATTATGTGTTTTGGCCATTTTGGGGCAATTTTGAGGCTGCAAGAAGTCACTTTTTCCGTTATTTTCAAAGGTCATCAAGCCAAACTGCAAAGTAATGTCATTAAAGTAACTATATCACGACAAAGTATCATCCTTACCCTTACAAGAAAACAATAGAAACACTTCTGAAAAATCTCCTTTATATATTTATTTTTAGGGTCGGTCGGAAATGAGAACCAAAGAAATAAGAAGGGATGCCCTCGAAATTAGCGGTAGCCTGCTAGCCAAAGCAGCGGCGGGCTAGTCAAACTATTCCTTAACTTTAGCCCAGCTGGCAAGTCAAAAATCATGAGCTACGGCAAAGTAAAAGGACAGGAAGATAAATCATTAAATTCAGAAAGCAAACCTGTATCAGTTTTCTTAAAATTAATGTGGCCTGACGTTGCGAACTTAGCAAGTTCTTCTTCAGAGGCTAGAACAGAAATGACAGAGGTACATACATTAACATGGGGATGCACACAAACATGCAGGGCTGAAAGAAGAAACACAAAAGGAGGATTAAGTGGGAAAGGTGTAGAAAGATGCAGGGGAGAGTGGATGAGAGAACAAAGAAACAAAGGGAGATGGCAAACCACAAGGGGTCTGGTGTGAACAGGGGAGGGACCAGAAAGGGGAAGGATCAAAGGTCACAGGGAGTGGGAACGGACAAAAGAATGTGAGAGTGAAGGGATGATGCGGGGGGGGGGGCAGTATGGAGGTGGAAAGGGATGAAAGATGGGGGAAGATGGGTAAACACAAACAAGGAAGACCAGATGGATTATCTGTAACAGAAGACAATGGAGGAAAAAAAGATTAATCATTTCCAAGTTGGATGTTGAGACCATGTGGTTGAATAGTTCGAAGACGATTCATCCACACTTTCTCTCTACTGAGGCGAACTGAGTCCTTGCGATGGCCAAGAGATTCATTGCCCTGCAAAATCATATCAGAAATGGAGTGGTTAGGCAGGTTGAAGTGATGACCAACAGGGGTGTCTAGTTTCTTGGTGTTGACCGTTGACCGGTGGGCATAGAAACGCTTCTTGAGCGTATTCTTAGTCTCACCTACATACTGCACTCCACAGACCCTGCAAGAAATGAGATATATGACATTAGAGGTGTTACAAGTGATGTTACCAATGGTTCTATGGGTAGTGACAGAAGAGTGGCCAGAAAAGGAGTCAGACTCCTGGATATGAATCTGGCAGACAACACATCTGGAACTGCACTTGAAAGTACCATGCAGGGTGGGAGGGGATGCATCTAAGGATGGGACTTCAGCTCGAACAATCAAGTCCCGTAGATTTCGAGGACGCCTGTAAGCCAATGTGGGGCCGTTGGGGATGGCGCGGGCAAGGCGATCTGAAGTGCGGAGGATATGATGATTGTCATTAGTGATTTTGCGAAGGGGAGGGAGATTGGGGTGAAACGTGGTAACCAAGGGAATCATGGGTTTGGCCATGGCATCAGGGGCCTTTCCCGTGAGAGCTAGATTTCTGGGGATAGCTTTAGCTCTGGCAATGGCACGATGAACTTGGCGAGAGCTGTGACCCCTGGCCACCAAGTTGTTCCTCAGTATCTGTGTATGGCGGGAGAGATCGGAATCATTAGAACAAATTCTTCTGAGTCTGAGTGCCTGGCTAAACGCTATGCCAGTTTTGCAGTGCCTGGGGTGACAGCTGGAGGAGTGGAGGTACTGGTGGGTGTCTGTGGGTTTGGAATACAGGTCAGTGGTTAGTGAGTTGCCTTGCTTGCGGACGGTGACATCCAGAAAGTGGGTTTGGTGAGCCGAGAACTCCGATGTGAATTTGATGGTTCTGTGGAAGGAATTGATGTGGTTAGTGAAGGTCAAGAGACTGTCCTTATCACTGGTCCAGATGAAAAAAACATCATCAATATATCTCCACCAGATCCAAGGGCGACATGGGGCCGAGGCAAGAATGCGTTCTTCGAGGTCACCCATGAAGAGGCAAGCCATCGACGGAGCCATGCGAGTGCCCATTGCAGTGCCGTGTACCTGTAGATAGTGTTCACCAAGGAAGGAAAAATTGTTCTTCGTTAGTATAAGTCTCATGAGGGTGCCAACATCACTGATGGGAGGAGTCGTGTGTCCTGCCTTGGCCAGAGCCAATGAGCAAG